ATGCACTGTCTAATCTCCTTGAACTTTGTTGGATGTGGATATGGTCTTCTAAATCTACAGCGACATCTTGCTCAATGAAAGGACCTCTTCTTTGCCCTCCACTGTAGTAGTCAATGTTTGCTGCTGGTGGCTGTATAGACCTCTTACGTGTCCTTTCTACCGAGATACTTTCAGTGCGATGGGTAGTTGCTGGTGATGGCCTCTGCAAGATTATGCCATTGGTGTTATGGGTTGTCCCTTTACCGGAGAGGGTCTCCTCCCCAAAGTCATTATTATCCCACACTAGTGTGGTATGTACAGATGGCAAAATGTTGGGAGGAATGAAGTTCTCGCCTCGTTGAATTTGGAGTTGAGCAAGGGCAGTGTCATGCTCGAGGACTTGTGAGTTCGAGGAGCAGTGCCCTAATCCATTCAACAGCCCAATGAGCTGCGCCGAGCCAGTAAGGTGTCTCACCGACATAGCCAGAGCAGAGTGCTTTGGCATAATCGTCCTACCGCTGGAAGCAAGATTCATTACGTCCTGGCATATTGAGACAATCTTACTTTTCTTTGCATCCTTCACCTGCACTCTTGAATTATCTGGAGGGAGTTCATTAGTTGCACCTACAGTCCATGCCATAAAGTTATACAGCGCATCTGGTACTAATCCCAAAGCCATGTCTGCAGTTAAGTCTCTCGCAGTTGGTGGCCATGGAGGCTGAGGAATGGAATTAGAACCTCTTTCTATTGCTCTTCTGAGTGATTGTGCTGCATGATATAGTGGTCTCAAGTCACATGATGTTCTCACTTGAGGAGCTCCTTCAGTTTGATGAATGTCAGAGTCGGTATCCCCATCAGTCTCATCTGTACTGCTTATGTCGGATGAAAATGGATGAACAACGTCCTCTGCAACTTCATCCATAGATAAATCTTCAACAAAAACTAAATCACTAGCATTACTGTGAGAAGACCTAAGAAATTTGAGAAATGGAAAGGTCTTTTGAAGCCTTCGCTTTAAATTAAATGACTTGTAACTTGGGATTTCTTTTCCCTCTACCTCCTTCACACACTTCTTGAACAATCCAAGCAATTTCTGTAACCTTAACACTTCTCGACCCTTCACCACTCTTACATCAACAACTGATCTACAAAAATGATCATATGACTTCTTATACAAAATGTTCTCAGAGTTTTCTTCTTTGTCCTTCTTTGTGAGAAACCTTGTATAGTTCTGGTAACAGCTCAAGTGGTATCTCACTTCCAATGCGACAGGGTCCTTCCCACGAATCTGCATCAAAATCTTCTCATCGGTGCGCATTTCTGCAGCAAGTACAAGCTTACCTGCTGAAATTGTTTCACATTGAGTTAATTTCTCCTTCCTTCTTTTCCTTGTAAAATGATCACAAGTTGTTTTGTCTTTCCTACATATTATGCACTGCACTGGAAGAATATGCCGAACCCTTGGCTGAACACTATGCTGATCCGACTGCCTCGGTCGAAGTTGTCGGATCTTCGAAGGTGGCTTTATCCCTGAATCTTCTGCCTCCAGTGGAACATCGTTGGTTCTTGTGGCTGAAGCAAGTTTTTAAAGACAAAAAGAGAAACAGGAAAACAAAATTATTATTGGTCCAAGCTTTACATGTAATAATGAAATATCCCATATATACAATTTGAACATTTGAAAATGTTCAGTCCCCTTCCTAAAAAAGGAATACATAAATTTCATTGTGGACAAAATAATTTTTCAACATCTTAGTTAACAAGATTGAAAGCTGAATAACTGTTTCATATTGATGGCTTGTTAATGTGGTCAATGAATACCCAAGCTATTTTCTGAGTGGCATTACTATTAGCTGAATCAACGTGCTCATTATTTGTAATTTCTTCCGATGATGTTTGATCGAACTTGAATATGTCATTAGACATTACACATTTACCATACGAGGTCAGTCAACTATAAACAGTGTCGACCTTACGACCATTATCACCTTGTCGTACATGTATGAAAAATGAGATTCAGCACTCGCAGTATTATAGAAGGCCTAGTGCATACAATGAATAAGTTGCCAGGAGTGACAACAGTCAAGATTTCATTTGTTTAAGTATTTTTCTTTTCCAACATCGATGATGAAATTTATTGTACAATAAATACTTTACTGTCAATTAATTCAGCTCAGTCAGATGTCACCCATGACCAAGTGTAACTTAAGTAAAGCTTTAGAGTGAATTTAAGTATTGTACAATGACGTTGGAAATTTTTTAGAATTAATATAGATCTAGAGGTGCTCGTGTTTTGTTCAAATAATTGAAGTAGACTAGTTCTCATGGTTCTAGACTAGTATTATTAAGTCTAAGAAGTAAGAGTAAGACCCTAACTTTGCTTTTTTGCGTGTGTGTGAAACTGAATTTATTATGATGATAGCCTACCTACATATATATAGTGCCTGTAGCTGTATATCTTATTAAGGGAATAACTAGTTTGTGGGTAAAATCAAGTGATTTCAGAGATAAGCGTTAAGCCCACGCAAGAGAACCCAGATCTTACACGAATACCAATGCATGGGACTGTAATGTGAAAAAACTGGGCAAACAATCCATGACTAAAACCTGATGAAACCTTCACTGTTTAATCATAACAATGCTTTTGAAATATTTAAAAAATGACAGTAATAAATTACCTTCATGTCCTGATCTTTCTTGCTTCTTCCTGACCCTCTCGATCTTAGTTTTGTCGGTAAATCGCATGTAACATGCGCGATGGTAACCCAAAGTTTGAGGAGGCACATTGAGAATATCTGGAGACAAAACAAGCTCCAAATCATACTTTTCAATGGCATGGGTAGCAATAACACCTTCTTTAATGTCAAATTCCTTCCACTGGTGAACACTGATAACAAATTTCCTCCAGCTTGTCTCAGAAAAAGAGATAATATTTGTCGAATCGCCATCAACAATGTGCATGCAACACTCCATGGTCATGGTGCACTAGCAGACTAGACATACAGACAGTGCATGCGAACCAAGACTCAGAATACATGGACTGTGATTGGTCAATTGCACTATGAGCTCTAATACCCCAGCTGTGATTGGCCAATTAAGGAACAGCTATGACATCATCATTGCAGAATGGCTGTCTGCTACATACAGTGATATTTGCAACTTTATATCAAAATTGTGAAAAAATGTACCAGCCAAAAGTTGGGAACATTTGACCATTGTTCTTAGATACATGTCCATTGATCATTTAGGACAAAATAAAGTACTTCCCAGGGGGAGACCACGGAACTGAAGAATTTTGAGGCTTGGCCCATGGTCTAACAGCATCTATAGCAGATGTAGCTGATATGCTTGGTACTGTGAGTCAGAAAGGCATTAAAGATGAAGTTGAGTTCTGGTCATGCGATTACTTTGTGTAAGAAACGGTGTGGAATCGACCAGAAAAGGTTGATCATCTAGCATATAAGAATTTGTGTGTATTGCAAGGTTCTGGAATCATCAAAATGATAAGAAATTGGCCAAGTCTTGGTAAAGTTACAAACACTGTACACAGAAAGATGTATATGGGACTACACGAACATGTGGCGTAAAAATCCGTCCAGATTTTTTACGATGTTACATGATATATTTAGAATATGAAGGCATTTGAAGAGCCATGCTTTTCAGGGAACATGTTTTATCTGATGTTCTTCCACACTTGCATGATAACAATGATAACGCTCACAAATTATTTTTCACCTCTTCCCAGAACTCAACCTTCTCTTTAAAGTGCTATAAGTAATGCTCGTCTTCAGTAGATGTGAAGTTAGTACCTCCCAAGATGCCATCCATTATTCTGTCTTTGTCTCCCCAAACATTGAAATTCAATATGGTAATGAATACATTATTGAACCACTTATACATCCTATTTATAGCATTGCTAATGCTTTGATGTAATGTGGTACGTCGGGCAGTAGCTTGGTGGTTAAGGCAGTAGTATTAGAATCCGTCTGTTTGCATTTTACACAGAATTAATGCCCTTTTTTAAAGTTGAAGTTGAAATTGATTTTGTTCCACATTTACATTTAAAAACAATTTAATATTTTTTTTTTTTTTATACAAGCGTATAAGCGTAGATTACACACAAATAAAATTAAAATTTCAAATCAAGTATAATGTACAGAAACTATATACAAAGTTTCAAAATATATAGATATGACAGGCAAGGTAAAACACTGTAAAATATGGGGAGCCTAAATAAAAAGCACAGCTTGGATGTGAATAGGCTTCCGTACTGAGTAACACAATACACAATTTGGCTCTAGATAGACAAATTGTGTAATTTACAATTTGTTGGTTGGGCACTCAGTATAATAGCCCTTTCTGAGGTACCTTAACACAGAGTTAATGCTCTTCTTGCTCCAAACAGATGATTTAATAAAAAAAGTTGTATAAAGAAATGTTTTATGATGTCATTAAACATATGAGACATCATATATGTTATTACAGTCAGACCACAAAAGTGCTATATTATATTTCCGATCCTGCTTCACTGGTTTTGTTTATGAATATGTAATGACTTTGATCATCAACTTTCCAATTGAGTGAATGGACTATTTACCATTGACTGATTTTCATGATTTACATATGAAATAAAAGAGGAGAAATAAAAGATTCCTGACGTATTTTTTATTGCCAAGGAAAAATGTGATGAAGTTGGTTGAAAAATTGTATTATATTATGCTGATGATTGGAAAATAAAACAAAAGGTACAAGTGGAAAATACTCACATTATTTTATTTGTGAGCCAGGTTGAACTTGACAAGAGTGTAAAGGTCAATACATGTATGTCTACTTTCCAAATATTGAAAGAACATTAATGTGCACTTAATGACAGGGTCGAGAATCCAGTAATATGTAACCAAAGGACACATTGTGTCCTTCAAAAAGTCGATTCCAGTACTCTGATTGGTTACTTCATACACCCTTTTGCAAAAATAAATTTTAAAAGTTTATCCTTGTTATTCTTTTTGGTTTCTCTTTAGAAACGAGAGCGAGGTTTTATGCGAGTGCATCAACTGAACAACGTCAACAGAGCTTTGCAAGTATTACATCAAAACAAGGTAAGAATACATTTTTATCCTTAATTGTCTCTCTCTCTCTCTACCCGATCTTTGTGGCACAGAAGGTTCAATTGTTTTAGCCCTTAATTTTCATTCCCTGATCTAGGCCGATCATGAATTTCAGACATTTGCATCCCCCTTTCTAGGTGGATCATGAATTTTTCAGTTATGGCTCCAAGCCTATACAAGACAGATATTTCACTGTTTCCATGGCATGGGTTATCCTATGGCCTTATTCTTGAGAAACAAGCCCAAATAACACCCTACAAGTCTGTCTTCTTAACCTGTTGGTCTATTGAGACTGGGTTGTGCATGAGCCTATGGCAATGAGAGGGTTAAACATGCATAGCCTCGGTTTGTAAGGAGGTATCAATTCTCTCCCTGGAATGGATTCCTTCCGATGTAGGGGAATGCAAATACCACATCTGGGCTTTTAAAACATGCAGCTTTTCATGCAGTTGTTGCAATGCTCTGGGTTAGTCCTTTCCTAAATTGCATTTAATCTTGCAGGATAGCTTTGAAAAAACATGAACTCAATTCCCCCGCTCTCTGGAGGAATAGGTGTTTATTCGTTGCCCGCTTCTCTCTTTCCTTGCGTTCTATCTTCATAATGCTGTCTGGATGGGGTTCTGAGTGAGAGGAAGCCATAAATAATGTTTTTCACAGGCTTCAGTTGAACACATTTATCTTAAAGGCTTTGGTGCTATTCTCTAAGAATGAAAGAGAGAGAGAGAGAGAGAGAGAGAGAGAGAGAGAGAGAGAGAGTGTGTGTGTGGGTGTGTGTGTGTGTGTGTGTGTGTGTGACATGGAAACAGTGTAGAACAGAGCTATATAGAACGATACATGTAGAAAAAGATAGAGAGGAGGTGGATGGGAGATAGAAGGGGAGAAAGGTAAATGAAAGATAGAGATAAAGATACAGAGGTGGAGAGGGAGAGACATTTAGAGAAAGAAGAGGGGGAGAGAGAGAGAGAGAGAGAGAGAGAGAGCAGCACATAGACTTAGCATAAATGGTAACCGATGAACAGAGACAAACAGGGTGATAAATCATGTGGAAGAGGAAGCACGAAATTGAAAAGTAGAGAAACAGCAAAAAGAGAAAGCATATAACAGAAGGAAAGGAATGTGAAAATAACATTTAATTCTTTAATAGGTACTATTGAACAGTTCGGTTGCATTAACAGATATAATCATAGATATAATGACATAATAGACCCAAGATATAATGTACATCTAAATGTAGTTATAGCATAATTATCCTTATCATTTATGAATTGTTAAAAGGGAAAGTGTTTGACAAAGATCACCGAAACATATCACATCAGCAATGAAGGGGTTTCACTGAAGGGGATAAACATGTATACCACAAATATATTTACATTTCAATACTTCTCATATTCATTATAAATTGTAATTTATAAAATAGAATACTTTGATCTCTTTATTTGTATATGAAGTGCTTTTGAAGGATATAAATACTAGTGTCTATAAATATCCCTAGATCCCTATTGAATAATAAGCAGTGTATTACAGTCTTCTACAAACCGAAAACTGTACCATGACTCTTCATAATTGTGCATGTAATATGACATGCTGAAGGAGATATGGAGAAGAAATTGTTGATATAAAGTTTGGTCATAAAATGATGGCTTCAGGCCACCATCTCAGTGTGATAAGCCAATGATAGGCTGGTCAGCCATGATCGTAGGAGGTATATTTATTCTAGCGCAGATTTTGATGTCTTATATCAACACACGGTCAGTACACCCATGAGCTGAGCGGTTTCAGATAAAATTGCTTGCTCGCCTTACAGTCTGGAGGCAATAGAGCTTTATGTTGAAATCGTGATGGTTTGCAAAGGAGTGCTATTTGTGGCTGTCCCATGTTAAGAAAATAAATGGGCATATTGAAATGTATATGTGTGTGAAGTCATGAATAATAATCTGATAACATTTGGCCAGGCTTACATTTATTTTCATTACATGATCTGCAGCAGATCAGTAGATCACCTCTTGTTTTGGTCAGATTTTTTTTTTGTGCAGTTAGTTATGGCTACATATAAAAAATAAACCCTGTTATTTACTAACAAAGAGATCAACATGCGTCTTTTGTTTATTTATGTGATCTTAGTCAGGATGTGAAAATGAAAACCAATATGTACAATGCGCTTTCTGCTGTTGATTACAGTTACCCTTGTACAATACCTGAATAAATAAGTACATTTTTTTTACTATTCAAATTACAGTACATTTTATATTTGCTACAATTGAAAAAAAGAAGAAGATACCTCTCCAGTCTCCACTGCATCTTCCATGCTTATTATTAGATGGTCAAAATAAGAATATATCAACAAGTCAAACTCCATCTCCAGAGCATCTTTGCCCTCGTCTGATTTCATTGATACATGTAACCTAGCAGATAGACTTTCTTAATTTAGATTCATCAAGTGTACACATAAGCTGCATGATGAAGACGGATCTGTCGCCACATGTGGCAAGCCAGAAACCCTGCTTTCACTATCCATAGGTCCTGTTTCCACTACTGGCCTAATGTTGTTTTGAACTGATTAATTGCTATATTAGAGGCTTTTATTAATTTTTGTGAGTGTGGAATGGGATAAAGGATGTAAAACTTATTGGTTTTTTTTCTCAAACGAGGTGACTATCTCATTACTTTGTCCTGAGCAAGCAATTAGGGACAATAATATTGATTAGGATTTTATGTCCACAAAATAAAACTTCTCTAAAATTAAGTTAATTGAATTAATGCCTAGTGAGTTTAGGCTTGTGCTAAACAAGTTATCCAATAATGTATATTTCTACTACTACTACATGTACTACTACTTCTACTACTGCTACTGCTGCTGCTGCCTCTACCGCTGCTGCTACTACTTCTACTACTTCTACCACTTCTACTACTACCACTGCTACTACTACTACTACTTCTACTACTACCACTGCTACTATTACTACTACTTCTACTACTACCACTGCTACTACTACTACTACTTCTACTACTACCACTGCTACTATTACTACTACTTGTACTACTTGTACTACTTCTACTACTTCTACTACCACAAATGCTACTACTACTACTACTACTACTACTACTTCTACTCCTTCTACTACTTCTACTACTTCTACTACTTCTACTACTTCTACTACTTCTACTACTTCTACTACTACCACTGCTGCTACTACTACTAATACTTCTACTATTTCTACTTCTACTATTTCTACTACTTCTACTACTACCACTGCTACTACTACTACTTCTACTTGTAGAGTGAACACATTTGAAGCATCGTGTTGATAGTGGTGACATAGCCATGGGTTCTGACTGTCACCATCACCATCCTGATTAATGTCACGCTCTGATGCAATGTTTAGTAAACACAGACCCATTCTCTACCCTTCTATAATCCATCACGCTGAGATGAGGCAAACTCAATGATCCCCCTCTTTCTCCCTCTCTCTCTCTCTCTCTCTCTCCCTATCTCTCTCTCTATATCTCTCCCTCCTTTTTCTCTTTTTCTCTTCTTTTTTCCTCTCTCTCTCCTCCCTCCCTCCTTTCATTCTCTCCTCCCCCACTCTTTCTTCTCTGTCCTTTCCTTCCCTCTCCCTCTCTTTATCTCTCCCCTATTTTTTCTCTCTTACCTTATCTTTCCCTCTTTCACCCTATCTCTCTCCCTCATTCTCCCACATTTTCTCCACCTCCCCTTTGTCTCTATCATTACTTCCCTATATATGTATATATACAGTTAACAACTAAATTATTCATACCCTTGCCAAGTTTTTGTATTTTGTTAAGTATGTGAAAATATATTTGTCCCGATATATGTTTCTTGAGAATGTTACATCTTACATCTAAAAGTATTCAACAAAGGCCCTAAATCAACCAGTCCATCTTTCATGTTTTAGATACAAAAAAAGAAAAAGAAATCTAATTTACAATAGGTATGAATAATGCAGTTGTTAACTGTACATATATATTCCATATATTTCATATATATTTGGCTCTTTTTCTTTTAACTTCTCCTTTGCTCTCTCTCTCTCTGTACTTTTTGTTCAGTACTTTTGAGAACTGCTTTCCTTATTAATTTTGTCATTTATTACCCTGCCATTAAAAGTCAACATGCTCATATTTGCTCTGCTTCCTCTCTGCATTGTTATCTTTCTCAAATGGTTTAGCTGATATGAACTACTCTAGACTGTTTATGGAAGAGACATCCTTGTCTACCACTTACATATAGCTTCAAGTATCTTCTTCCCCACATGACCTCCTTATGAGCTATTAACATAGCTGTCACTTTAGTCATAATATCATGATCACTATATAATAATGAATACATAATTGTGGGCTTCAATATGATTCAGAAATTAATTAAGTAATCATTATTTGATTTGTTTACCGGTACACTTTGAAACAATGTCTTGATGTGCTCTTTGGAAATTACCACCCTGGCTCCCCTCATGACAACTTCCTGGTTGCTTATTTCGTCTTCTTCTTCTTCTTCTTTCTTCTTTTTATTAAACTAGAGAATCCATCATTGATTATGATAGTGTTTATGGCCTAAAACAATCGATCGTTAGAACAACAAAAAGGCCTACCGTACGTTTTTTCTCTCGAAATTTCTGGAAGCTGAAATTTGGTCTTCATTGTAAATTTTGGATACAAGCAAAATGTGTTTTTCCCCCACAGGCCATGGGCCGAGCACGATTTTTGGGCTTAATTTTCTCTTTTGGGACTTATTTGATCAACCTCTTTGAAATATTGATTGTTACTAATATTGATTTCATTAGCTTGATGGCAACCTTTGACAAAATAGAATCTTGTTGATAATGATTTTTATTATGATTATGGTTGTGATATTGTAGTACTGTTTGTTATTTTCAGGTACGCTTGGTGAATATTAGCAGTAATGATATCGTTGATGGCAACTCCAAGCTAACTCTTGGTCTAGTGTGGAGCATCATAGCTCACTGGGAGGTCAGTAATAACAATCCTTCTCTTCTTAATCTACAATGCTCTAATGAAATCTAACAGTATTACTTTATAATAACAATAATAATAGCTCACAATTATAAAGCACCTAATACTTTGTTTCTAGGCGCAGTACATATTATTACCATTGTTTAAAAAAATTGATAAACTAGCAAAAGATTGTTTTCAAGTGGTCATAATAAATAGTAATTTCAGTATTTTCATTTGTTTAATCAGTATGGATCAGGATGTACATGTGCCAACATTAAAGAAAATTAAGTTAAAAAGTTACATGTTTTATTGCAAGTATTGTTACAGAAATTGATTGAATTGTTGCAGGTATAGATGTAATGACACCATCATTTACACATGTGATGATTAACAATCAGTATTTATTGATGTTTATTATTTTTGTAGGCCAAAGCTGTCTTAAAAGATACTGACAATAGTATGGAAGAGCAGTACGAAAAGACTGTATTAACATGGTGTAAAGAAGCAACACGAGGGTGAGTAAAGAATATCATTAAAACAGACACAGACAGACAAACAAACAAACAAACATCCAGTAGTATGGAACAGCAGTATGAAAGGACTGCATCAACATGGTGTATTTAAAGCATGGGCCTACTTCGTAGTAGGTCCATGGTGTAAGGAAACAACACAAGTAAATAATTTCATTCAAATGGATACAGACAGATAAACAGACAGATAGACAGACAACAAAATCAAACATCAAATAGTATGAAATAGCAGTATGAAAGGACTGTATTCATTAATGTGGTGTAAAGAAACAACCCAAGAGTAAGCAAATACATCTATTTGAATAAACATATTATCTGTATGAAAATGGTGTAAACAAACAAACAAGCAACGACATTGAACTGCACCAATAAGGCAAGAATGAGTGTACATCTGTATACATGAATTAATTAGAAGACACATCTTTTATTTTTGAAAGAAATCATGTCAGTTGACATGACAAATCTAGATAGTAACAAATTATCTTTATTTTTTTTAACATACATATATTCGCATTTCTTTAAGTGCTAACTTGATATTTACTTCCTCTATTCATAACAGCTGTATTATGTGTGTCTCTCATTCTCTCTCATTGTTTCTCTTTTATATTCTGTTTAGTTACGAGCGTGTAGATGTCAAAAACTTCACCAGTAGCTGGAGAGATGGTTTAGCCTTTAATGCCATCTTACATAGACATAGGTCAGTATCAAAGCCAAATGATAGACTTGTTATTTCCAAGCCTGAATCCTTTTGGTTTGCTAAGACTATACTGTAGTTCCACATGTAGCAATTGTTGTAAGTTTCTTATTACAAAGTTCTGTTTATCAGTGCAACATGGTGTGACCAGTGCAACACAATGAAGCCTTGGTTTGGAAAAAATACCTGTTATGATTCTTGCCTAGTAATGAAATTTCAATAGGTTGTAAAAGTTAAAGATTCATCACTTTTCTGAAATTAGACAGCATTTTATCATTATCTGCTATAATTGTAAAACCGTGTCAGGTTTTATTTGATGATGATTTACCAAAGAGCTCTAATTTGGATTAAATCCAACATTTTTTTAGCAGTGGTGCCAGTTGATCATGACTTAAATAGATAATCTGTTGCCATCCCAAAGTGCTTTAAAGATAAAGTTGAGTACTGGTCATGCGATTGCATATTGTGAAAGAAACATTGTGGAATCGATCAGAAAAAGTTGATCATCTAGCATATAAGTATTGGTGTGTACTGCAAGGTTCTGGAATCATCAAAATGATAAGAAATTTGGCCCAGTCTTCATAAAGTTACAAGCACTGTACACAGAAAGATGTATATGGGACTACACACACATGCGCGACACGTGCGTTTATCTCTCACACACCAATACATAAACTAATTTACCAAATATATCAATTAGTAGGAGGTTTCCCGGCAAAATTTTTATCATCATGTATTAGTCAAAACATACTCTTTCACATGATTGGTAATAAGAGCTTCCATTTCATTTTTTGAAATTGGGGCGTTTCCAATACTGGTCTTTACCTTTAACTCATGTGATAACCAATATGAGTCGCCAATTTGCTGTTGGTGTGGTTCCTCTCAGACAATCTAATTCTTCTCTCAGAGTGTGCTTTATCTCAACAATTCTCCTGACATCCCCATATAGGAGGACTTTGTGATAAGATAACCTGATACTTGTGTTTAATTCCTGCTCCTTCTTTTATCTCCTTCTGTATACAGACCTGACCTTTTTGTTTATCACGACCTTTTAAAGGACGAGCCTGAAGCAAGACTAGAACATGCCTTCACAGTAGCACATAGCCATTTCAACATAGATAGACTCTTAGATCCAGAAGGTTTGTAGAAACTCTGAAAACAGATTAAAGTATTTCATACAATGACATCTCATAAACAAGAGCCATAATAAAGACTAAAAAATGTCTTTATAGTAAAACATAGCCTTTTCAACATAAATAGATTCTGAAAGATGCATGATACATCCTGAAGATTTTTGTGGTATATTAAATATAATTGTATGAGAAAATATATCCTGTGGAGTATAAATGTCTGTGTTTTATGTATAGTTCATGTTTTGAATTAGTGCTTTGGAAGTTTGAGATATATATTGGAGGTTATTTTGAGTTCTGGTAATAACAACAACAATAGCAACCAAAATTAATCACAGAATCGAATAATATTTTACTCAGTGATCATGAGTTAGGATAAATGGTATTTATTGAGGCTGATTATTGAGGAACTGTAAAGACTCGGTTGGAAAGTTTATGGGACCATGAAACTTGTAAAAAGTACAATATCCTCTGAAGTACTATGAAATATATGTACCAAAGTCCCATTTCCACAAATGTTTTACATGCATCTTTCTTTGAAGTTATGACATTTTACAATTCTTTAAAATGTTCCTGAAATATTTTTAAAATGGTAAAACCCGGTCCCTTTGTAAAAATATTTTCTTGTGCCTCTCTCTTTCTACCAAATATAATTTAGATTCCTCTTGTATTACATCTTCTTTCTTGTGCTTTGTTTTTCAGACATCAATGTGGGCCAACCAGACAAGAAGTCTGTGTTGATGTACGTAACGTCCCTTTATAAAGTACTATCTAGCCAAAGCACCTTGATACAAGACACTGACCGAGTAGTCGGGTCTCAAACTTCACTCAATCTCAGTCGCAGTTCAGCGCAGGAGAGTTTTACTACTGCATCACCAGACCTAGTGAGTTTATTGATTGATTTCTTGATTGTTGGATGGATTGATTGATTAATATTGACTGACTGACTGACTGATCAATTGATTACCTCGATACAAGTTTCAGTTTCAGCGCAGGAGAGTTTTACTGCATTGCCAGACTCAGTCAGTTGAAAGATTTAATAACGGATTGTTTGATTGATAAATCTATTAATTGATTATCTGACTGATTATTTTATGAGTTTAATTGAATGATTGATTGATTGATTAGTTGATTGATTGATTTCTCAGTGAAGTTACTCATTTTGTCTTGCACTTCATCATATCAGTATTTATCTGATGGTACAATAAAACAACAATTTAGAAAGAACCATAAACAAGTTGAATACAATGACATTTGACACAAGTCTAATTTACTACCATTATCTGCAGTCATTATCCGACATGAGTGAGATAGACATAGAGAGCTACCAGGGGAACATGGAGACTGTGTTGGCCTGGCTCCTGAATGCAGAGAGCCACCTGGAGCATGAGGAGGAGGTCTCTACCAATGTAGATGAGGTCAAGGAGCAGTTCCACGTACATGAGGTAAGGATAGGCTAATGACTTCAGAATAATGAGAGTGTCGTGGTCGAGTGGATTTAGGTGCTTGACTGGAGATGCAAAGGTCGAGGGTTCAAATCCCGACACGGCACTAATATCCTTTGGCAAGATATTTACCTGCACTTGCTACTCTCAACCCAGGTGTTAAATGGATACCCGGTAGGATGCGACCGTCAATGTTGGTCAAACAGATTTGAGCGTCAAGTAACGCCTGGCTGGAATGCTCCCCAGGGAGTGGAGATTGTGCACACAGTAGGTGCAGGCAAGCACTGAATTAATTGACCGGGTTAATAGTATATTTGTCAAGCGCTTAGAGACGTTGTATTAAGCGCTTATATAAAAGCTAAATATTATTAATATTATATAATACTGGATATCAATATATAACAAAAATATGGAGTGCATGGCAGAATTGCATAATCAGGGGTATTACTAATATGTCTATGACGACTTCCCCTGGTAATGCCCCTCCTGCATAGCCGATAGCAAGCACTTGCATCAGTTTTAAACAAATTCAGACAACAACATTGTTTTAATTATGAATGAAACCCTTTTTACTCATTGCTCTACTATTCTTTACAAATGTTTGGATGATAAACCAATTTCCTGGAGACAATTTTTGTGGTGGTCTGTATTCTCAATGTGTTTTTTCTCTCCACAAGGTTTGCTAAATGACTGATTAAGATCGGACAGAAACTATCCTTCATCTTCTTCTTCATCAACTCAGAGAGAATACCCTGAGCGTATTATCATGCTTGAGATTTCTCTATATACATGTACAACATATTAAAAAGTTTTATGAAAAATGAATAAAATATCAAATTTTAAAAGAAAGAATTAATTTTGTCCCAATCAGAAATTCATGGTTGAGCTGATGACCCATCAGAACAGTGTTGGGAGTGCCCTACAGGAGGGAAACCATCTCATCATTGAAGAAAAGGTCAACGAGGAGGAGGAGAGTGAGATTCGAGAGCAGATGACGCTGCTCAACAGCCGCTGGGAAGCTCTTAGGTTATCAGCTATGGAAAGACAGTCACTGTGAGTACTAACAAGATAAGGATGCTATGGGACTGGGTATTAGTAATATTCACATAGATGTGTTATCAGCCATGTAAAGACACCCATTGTGGGTGATAATACGATTACTAGTGTGTGGGACTACAGTATTCACACAGATTAGTTTATTGGTAATGGCAATACAGTCACTGTGGGTGCTTACTGCTAACATGGTTATTTATGTACTTTTTATATTGATGCAGAGAAGGATTCAAATATGACTTTATAGTGATTGTGAAATATAGGACTGTTGTCACTGCTCATGATTACGTGGTAGGTTAAGTGATTTTGATTGTAACTAAGAATGCAGTCAATGTTATCCATTTTGCACCATGCATATATGACTGAAATACTAGATTTTCTCATTTCAAGCAGAGCTTTTCCCTGCTTTTTACATTCCTTGCTTTTTACATTCCTTTTGAGATTCAGAGTATTATTCATTCGCATATCAACTAAAGCTATTTAAAACTGTCAATGACACCAGTTGATGGTTGTCAATATTAGTGAGGAGATGCAGAGTCTTTGTATGTTGTAATTGTTCTATTAATTATCTTTAACTTTCATTTTTCTTTCTTTTGTTTGGTTTGTATAGATTACATGAAGTACTAATGCAGCTGCAACAGAAACAGTTAAAAGACTTGAGAGATTGGCTGACCAAAACAGAGCAATTCATTGATGATAGGAGCTTCATTGGGGATTGCTTGGAAGCTGTCAATAAACAGATTGATGATATAAGGGTCAGTTCTTATTAAAGCGACTTGGTAACATTGTTGAAGGTTGATGAAAAACTGTAATTTTTGTATAAAATGTTGCTTTTTATATTCCTTCTACTGTACTAACCCTCTTAGATGCAAACAATCCTGACAAAATTCTTAATCCACAAAGATATTTATGGTTTTCTTTGAAGGCGACACTGTGTGACACCCTCTAACATTAAATTCCCCCAACAATTTTTGCGACCGTTTTTTCCATGAAAATAAGACATAAGACAAACTTTAAAAAAATCTGTCAACACTTAAAGGGCCATATAGGGCCAATTCATTGCTTTGTGACGATTTACATTCACCTAAAATGTAAGTAAATTGTAATAATATAGTTGGGAAAATTGAGGAATCGATCAGATCAGTTTTCCCAATTGTTAGCATTAAAAAGGGTCCGTCTTCACTCAAACTTTCAGTTTTTTTAAAATTGTTCATCTAGCATTGAAGCCACTACCTTAGCACCATTTGCTCTCATCTAAACAATGTTACCAAGTCCCTTTAAGAGCTTAAATATTAACCTTTTTCATAGGAAATTCTATTGTTTAAAAAAAAAAGATCCTAAAAAACGATCCCACAATTTCCGAGGAACCACAAGTTTTTCTGTATAGAGATGTTAGTATGAGAAAAACTAATTTTTAATGCATATTGGTCAAGATATTGTCCCATCACTTCACCCCAAAAATTCATCAGAATATGTCAAATACAGCATCTTAACACCTTTATAAATGTGTACTGTAATTATATATTAGTTGCCCTTTGTCAACAAAATTCACTGTTCACATTTTGGTCAGCTATAATTACCCTGAATTTCAATTACGAGAAATGCTCTTTACCTGAACTGCACATTGAATGTGTACATTCTAGCTACATTGGAAGGATGGCAGCGGTGGGATGTCATCTCCCCCAATGAAATGACTGATGAAACCAGAGCCTTGACTGGTACTAGTTAAAAACACAAGTGGAGGCGCGATAGCTCAGTCGGTAGAGCAGTGGTCTCGTAATCCGATGACCCAGGTTCGAAACCAAGTCGATGCGCTTGTGCTCTTTGGTAAGGACCTAAAGCCGTCGGCCGTCTGGTTGCTTACTAACAAGCATTTATGCTTTCTTAGCAGTCAGGTAAAATAACCACCATCACCGCAAGCATTGCTATTGAAATTATTTCATGTTTTATTTGGTTTTCATTATTTGTTAAATCCAGGATCTTCAGGAGGACCTTGAAAAGCAGCAGAGACAGGTTAATTCTCTTTCTCACATGGTGGTAGTTGTCGATGAGAGCAGTCCAGAAAATGGTAAGTTACTTGAAGTAAACCCCCCCCCCCCCCCCCAAAAAAAAAAAAAAAAAAAAAAAAATCCCAATATTTTCTCAAAAAAACACACAAACAAACAAACAGAGCCAGAACGTAAAGCTGTTCTGAAACCCAATTGCAATTCTAACGCTAATCCTAAACCCACTCGCATAAATAAACCCCAAATAAATTAGATGCCCAAACACACATTAAACATAAACCAGATCGTAGCAGATGCGGGCACTCAAGTCAGTTCGAAATACCATTAACCAGATTAGATGTATACAAAAACTCTTTTTTTCCACGCACAACCAGAGCATGGAATGATCTCGATTCGGCATTAGTATCCCTGACCGACTCAGCAAAGTTTAAAGTAGCACTCCTTCCGAAATAATTCCACCCTCTGCCACCACGACCTCCAGTTTAAATTCCACTAGGAATCTTTTGGAGGAACAACAACCAAGTACCAAGTAAAGCAAATGTCAGGTCACCATTCAAGTATGTTAACCATTATCAATTCTTATTTTTTATTTGTTATTGCAGCAACTGCAGTGCTAGAAGAGCAACTGACCAGTCTTGGAGAGCGTTGGGCCAGCGTGTGCCAGTGGACCGAACAGCAGTGGTCAGTACTGCAAGATGTTCAGCTCCAGTGGCAGCGATATGCAGATGCCCAGCGCCAGTTTGAAGACTGGTTGAGCAAAGCAGAATCTTCGCTGGCCATTATGAGACTGACCCAGCCACACTCAGACACGGATGCTATGGAGATGCTCAAGAAGATCAAGGTATGTACCTTTAGCCTCATTTATTGAAAATGATATCCAGATTTGAAAATGAAGAACTGATATAGAGTCGGTCAGATATAGATATCATTGAGATGCTCAAGGAGATCAAGCTAGATTTCTTTAGTCCCATATGTTGAAATTCATGACAACAGTGTTGACTGTTGCTTAGTCTTAAACTATAGTACTGTTGGTGTATGAAAATGTTCCATTTCTACTGATCTCTGACCACATTCAAATACAAATGCTTGAGAGATCAAAATTTTGTTGCACATATTAAAAAGCATGAATTAATGAAAGTGTTTATGTTCAGATTCTTCCCAATAATAGAGATGTGAGGCAACCAATGAGGTTGGAGTCTTATAAACCATTAAACAAACAAATTCTTAAAAATGTAATTAAGGCTACCTGATGCATCCTCTGGCAATGCACAATTTAGTTCTATTCTTGATCTGCTTTGTTTGACCTGTCCACTGTAGGCTCTAGAGCAGGTGCTTGAGTTGCAACATAGCGAGTTCTGCCGTCTGAACACGCTGGCTCAGAACATTGTACAACACCTTGAAGAGGACCATCCTGGAGTGGCCAGCATCCAGACTGCCTTGGAAGACTTCTCACAGCGATGGGACAGCATCGTCCAACAGATGGAGGACCAGTCCAAAGTGGTGAGTATTCCAAAGCTGAAAGGAGTCGTATAAGAGAACATGTATAGGATCTGTTAACACCCATCGAGTCAGGTTGTCCAATTCTCTTCAAATTAATGGGGATGTTCCTCAATTTATTTTTATGCCTCCGTTACGAAGTAGCCGGAGGCATTATGTTTTCGGGTTGTCCGTCCGTATGTACATCTGTACGTACGTACGTCCCGTTCTCGTGATCGCGTTATCTGAAGAACCAATAAATGGATTCCAGCCAAACTTTGGTCATGTATGAATCTTGCAGAGCCGATGAACTGATTAGATTTTGGGGTCATGAGGTCAAAGGTCAAAGGTCACAGGGCTCATTATGTATGCAAAAACAGCTTGTGATCGCGATATCTGAAGAACCGATTAATGGATTCCTGCCAAACTTAGATCATTTATGAATCTTGCAGAGCCAATGAACTGAGTAGATTCTTGGTTCATAAGATCAAAGGTCATGGGGCTCATTATGTATGCAAAAATAGCTTGTGAAAGCATTCTCATTAGAACTGACAGATGGTTTACTATTTAACTCAGGACATCTTGCAGAGCCAATGAACTGAGTAGATTTTAGGGTCATGAGGTCAAAGATCAAAGGGTCATATATGTATATGAGAAATTGCTTGTAATCACGATATTCTGAGAACATGTTAATGGATTACAATTGAACTTGAATTTGAAAAATTTCTTCCGTGTCGGTTTGTAAAATTGCTCTATGAAGGAGGCATCATTTTCGACTGCGCGCAGTCGAATTCCATCTAGTTAAAACTATGACAGGAAGAAACATGAAATCTTGTGACAGAGTGTTAAAATGCAGGATCTTTCTGAATTCAATTAATATAATCATTTTTTTTTAATTATGAAACAATATGTCTTTTATGTATATTTTGTTATCTGTATTATTTCTGCATGTGAAATGTGAAATCAATAAACTCAAACTCAATCTCAATTCCAAAGGGTCATTTGCCCATGGACCCTAGTAAGTGTGAAACCTTTTTGTAAGTTGATGAATCGCATCTGGAATTGGCCAACAAGAAATTGAAATTCTGTTGTAAGTGATTGTCTGATGACACCTGACCTCTCCACACAGGTTGCCAGCAGCGGCTTCAACCTCAACATCACCCCCGTCACCGACGAGATTAACTCCACCACCACCACCACCACCTACTCACACAACGATGCGGTCGTCACAGAGACCCTGCTGACTAAGACCATCCACCAGACCGTCCATGTTTCCTCTCCAACCTCAGCCTCCTCACCGTCACCTCCCCCGATGGGTGGGGCTAGGAAGAGGTCCAACGAGGATAGTGAGTTAAGACGGAGGTTTGACGGGGAGCTGGGCAGTCTGGTGGCATGGGTAGAGGATACAGAGCAGAGGATCATGTCAGAGGACGAACCGACCCCTGAGACACCTGACTTGGACCTGTGCAAGACAATCTATGAAGTGAGTAGCAGATTGAATTGAATTCAATTGAATTTATTGATCCATCTCTTTTATAGCAGAAATTCTCTTTCCATTGTTTTAAAAACAACAAAGGTCATATCACGCACAGAATCATATGTAACAAAGAAATTTAGAATGTTAGGAAGCTAAATGACTCAATCACTTCTTGAAGAAGATGTTTGAGGAATGGTATAAAGAGTAGTGATAGATGTATACTACAAAAATCACTTTAGAGAACCTTTCCAAAACAGTTTTTGAAATGAACTATTGGGAAAGCATTTTTAGACGCTTTTAATTTTTGTCATAGATAGGGAAAGAGATCAATGCTGTAGGGCAGGGAGAGGGTAGAGACGACATAGGGAGAGCAAAGGTTAAGAGAGAATGGTTTTCGAAAATGGAGGGAAATATAAAGGGCTTAAGAGAAATTGGGGGAGGGGGGGGGGGCAAAGAATTTAAAAAAAATTATTTATCAAAAAAGAGAATGGGGGATGTAAGTAGTGAACTGTAAAGAAGGGGTAAATGTCCGAATATCATCACATTCAAACTTTTGTTGATTCTTCCTGTTTTTTTTCAGAACCTTGACCATGATTGGGAGGAGAGGAAGAGTAGGGTCAAGACGGTATCAGAGCTTGCTGATAAGCTCATAGATCTCACACAGGAAGGTAAGATCCAGGAACAGCCTTCAAAATCATGGATTTGAAGATGATTTCATTTCATTGTGAGAGTCTGACATTAAAACTCATCCCGAGTTCTTTTAATTGGAGAGGAACTGACTCACAATGATCCTGAATTGCAGTAGAGCACTTTATACCAGCAAATGTAAACAAGATAATGAAAGCATCCTAGAAATGATATTTACTGATATCACACGTTCTATTGCTCAAGGCACTTTTTGGATAATTCGCTCAATTTTCTTGGCTCTCTTTGCATATTAGTTATAGTTTATACATTTACAACAAAATTTGTGTGACAGATATCATTTAACTTTACATGGATATGGTGAACATTATGAGTCAGCTTAGCTATGTTTTAAACAAATCTGATGAAATGTGAGTCTTGTTTTATCAGGTGTTTTATTATCTCTCTTTATATCTACCACTAGATGGTGCTTCACCAGAACAAATCCAGCACTCCGTGAAGAGCTTCCAGAATCGCTGGAATGATGTACATGTGATGTTGGATGATCGGAAGCGCAAGTTAGACCAGGCCGTGCGGCACCAGGCGTTTGAAACGGAGTTGAAGCGGTTGCAGCAGGCCATAGAACCTATCAAGCAATGGCTAGATGAGGACTTAGAACCAGTGACCGAAGACCTTCAGAGAATCAAGATGCAACTAGATCAGTGCAGGGTGAGTCACTCAATGGAGTTGCCCCAGGTAGCTCAAAAGGGTCTTTAAACCTTTGTTGCCCTGGCAACGGCTGGGTAACTCCTCACCCAATGCCCTTTATATGACCATGCCCTTGTGAATACTTTCTCTATTGAAGCCGGGAGAGGTCAGATCCACATAGTGGGGTAGGTAGTAAGGGCTCATTAATGGCAATTATGAAATAGATAGGTAAGTAAAGATCACTAGTCGATAAAAGGTTTGGTCTCGAACATACATATACACAAGCTGATACATCACAGAACTATTTCAAGAGAGACAGTGAACCTTTTCTATGCATTAACTTGTTTAGCCTGAGATAACGTAAGATTAGAAATGTAATCCTGAATAAAAAGGACTTGTATGGGATAGATCTTAATATTTGTATCTGTTCCCATGTCTCTTACCAACCATAAAGGCCAAACAGACTGAACTAGCAATCAATGCCAGCCACATGGAGCGACTATCCACCACTGCTGCAGCCCTGGTGACCTTTGACTCCACTCTCTCCCGATCGACCAACCGTGACCTCAAGGAGTTCCGCCATCTTTGGGACACGACCCGGGAGCATCTAGATGAGAGAGAGAAGCTCCTGACAGAGGCAATGAACAGCGCCCCTCCTGCTCGATACCTTGAGGCGCTCAAGGCACTCACCCAGTGGTTAGCCAGCGTGCAGGAAGCCTTGAAGGAGGAGGAGATCTTTGTGTCTGATCTGGATGAGCTGGAGGATCAGTTGCAAAGATACAAGGTATGGACGCTCAACTCTTCCTGTACAACCAAGTGTACAAAATCAACTTCAAAATTTCAAATTTATCTTGCAATTAACAGTTTTTTGCATACATGAATGCTATTTATGATGTATCTGGTTATTGATTACCGTATTTGCTGACATTTTTGACATTTCGTAGACAAAAAAAAGTATAAAAAAACGCTACAAGACCAAAAAAATTGTTGTTATTTTCTTGCGGATCACTATTTTTTTCTACAAACTGATACCAAATTCATCAATATTTTATCAAATTTAAAGAAAAAAAGTTAAAATTTGTATTTACCTCAAAATTTTTTATACCAGAATGTTGGTATTGATTCTGGCTTATCGTTGTAGGAATCATTTGTTTGAATGGGATACCTTCCGCTAGCAGTACTTTTCTAATAAATCCTGTGTTCCTGGTGCAAAGGGGATGGGAGCTAGGTCCCTTATTGCCCGGCCCGCACTTTTATTGGCTCAGGTGGGCGTAATATCTGCGGACCTCGTTGTTTATTACAGCTGCTCCTGTCAGTGACATTCTGACAAGGCTGTACATCATGATTGCTGACAAATATTAATTCTCAAGGTAATCGATTAAACAGAGCAACAAAGTTTCTTTTAACGACTTGATTTTTATCAAAAGATTGCTTTTCATCCATTGAGATAGATAGTTTAGATAGTTTATTGGTTTCCACAATATCTCATTTTACAAAGAGTGTAACAACATATTTAAAATGATTACATGTACATACAATACCGGTACACACTATTCAGAATATTGTCCATTAAGTTTAACTTAAGAGATACAGTGACGGAGCTTGTGGAAAAGCAGAGCTTGTTGTGGATAGGCTCCTTAAACTAAACATGACATAATCAACTAAAGTAAAGTTTATAAAATACAAATACACGCTAAAACAGGGAAAGGGAGATTACAGGGATACATGAACCGATACTCACAGTTAACTACAAAAGACAAGGAAAAGGGAAGGGAATATATCTGCAGCTTATTGAAATAATATTACAATATAGTTTGTTCTCCATATGAGTATATTATAAACATAGTTGGTATGGTCATACCGTTTATAGTTACTCATTGTAATGAACATAAGTATACAGTTTGGAGACAAGAATAGTCAAGAATCAGGAATGACAATATGTATTCAAATAATAACTTTTCAATTTTCTTCTGAATACATGTACACTTACAGACCTTTTAGTCACAGAATCGAGAGAATTCCAGAACTTAGGACCAGTATATATTAAGGTATTTTGAGCAAAGCTTGTTCTCGTTCTAGGAAGGTGATAGGAAAACGCCTGTTGGGTAGAATATTCGTGGACTTGATTTCTTTTCTTAAACAAATAAGATAGTGCCTGGGGCAGTTCGTTGTTATTCAGCTGAAACATGAGGCAGCCTAATTGTAAATTAAAAATATCCCGAACTCTCAGTACTTTAGTATTAAAGAAAAGAGGGCTCGAGTGAGTACGAATAGGTACATTGCAAATTGTTCGTATTGCTCTTTTTTGAACAACCAGGATTTTGTCCAGTTAGAGTTTCAATGAACTACCCCAGGCAAGAATACCATAGTTCAAGTAGGGCAACATTAAAGTGGAGTACAACATTTGCAATACATATGTTGGGAACATAGGTTTCAGTTTGTACATAACACCAGCATTTCTTGATAGTAATGAACACAAATAATTTGTATGTATTTTCCAGGACATTTTGTCATCGATAAACAGGCCAAGAAACTTGGTCGATTTTACTTTCTTAATATTAACATTGTTGAAACAGATATCTCCAGGTAAATCAGAGATTGAATTGCTAAATAATATGAAATTAGTTTTGTCCAAGTTCAGTGACAGTCTATTCGCAAAAATCCATTGTGCAATATTCTCAAGTTCCGAATTTACAGTTTCAACAAGAATTTGAGGATTCTGATGAGAATAAAATATGCTTGAGTCATCTGCGTTTAGTATAAATGACAACTCAAACGTAAATACTGGTCTCAACTTATACTTTGTTCTGATTTTAATTTTCACTAGGGCTCATAATATTAAACACACCTATATTCTCAAATAAACAGCAAGCTTAATGTTCGAATTTTTCACCTGGAATGCCATGTTTATGTTATACTGCAATCATGTATTCGTTTTGTTCCGTTTTCCATTGTAACAATTATTTTCAGAATGTAACTACGTTTGTAACGATGTACATTTGATAATTATTGTATTATGTATTGTTCTTGTATTATGTATATATGTACATAGACTGTAAACCAGTGAAAAAAGAATTTCCCGAAAGGGACAATAAATTTTCAATTCAATTCAATTCAATTCAATTCAATAGTGTGGATGAAAATTTGAAGTCATTTATATATGTTATGAATAGTAGAGGCCCTAAGAGAGATCCCTGAGGAACACCGCACGTGACAGGCTTGACACTCCATGCAATCCTATTTAATGAAACGAACTGTGTACGACTACTGAGGTAACTTTTGTACCACTCCAACGCCTTACCTCTGACACCATAATGCTGAAGTTTTTTAAACAAAATGTTATAATCAATTGTGTCAAATGCCTTAGAAAAATCCAAAAATAATCCCACAGTATGACAGCGGTCGTCAAGAGCAGACGCAATTTTATTAATAAAAAGTAGTATAGCATGAGAAGTAGAATGTTTCTTTCGAAATCCAAACTGAGAGTCCGCCAAAATTCCACAACGTGTGAAAAAATTAAATGTTCGAGTGTAGATCAGTTTTTCAAGAATCTTTGATAAAGTAGTGAGTAGAGAGATTGGTCTGTAATTATTACGATCTAGAGGATCACCCTTTTTAAAAATCGGTACAACTTTTGCTATCTTCATTTTTCCAGGTACTATGCCATTTAACATTGACATATTCATAATATGAGTTACAGGTACGATTATTTCTTTAATGACACTTTTCAGTAACTTATTGGTAATATCATCATAACCTGGGGTCTTTTTAATCTTTAAATTTTTCACAATTTCAGTTAATTCTTGTTCATTGGTTGGTACCATAAATAGTGTAGTGGGGTTGGGATTATTCAAAAAGCAATCAAAAGATTTTGCCGACGTTGGTATAAATCGAGCCAAATCTGGCCCAATATTGGTAAAAAAGTCATTAAATATTTCGGCAATAGTTTGTTTGTTTTCAGTTGCTGTTCCATGGTTCTTAATTTTAGAGATATTTCATGAATTTGGTGAACTATTAAGTACATTCTTTATGGTTCTCCATGTCCCTTTAATGTCTCTGTTACAGGAAGTAAACCTTTTACAATAATACTCTTTTTTAGCATTCCGAAGCAGGTTTGTCAAAGTATTTTTATAATTTGTGTACTTCATGCGATTTTTATTTGTGGGGATACATTTATATTTGTAGAATAGCCTATTTTTCCTGTTAATTGATTTCAAAAGAGTAGAGTTAACCCAAGGCATTCGAGGAGTCTTTTTATAACTAGAGAGTTTGGGATTCTGTATCGGGAAAGCTTCATTGTACAGTTGAATAAAGATATTCCAAAATTTCTCATAAGATATATTTACGTCTTCTTCATTTAAGACCATGGTCCAATCAACATTTCCAAGTTCAGCTTTAAAATTATTCACATTTCTTGGGGTAATTTTTCGCTGGTTCTTATTATAGTGTGGACCGGATTCTTGTTTCTGTGCCAATGAACAAAGTGCAAATATAGGATAGTGGTCTGAAATATCTGAGAGAATAATTCCTGCATCTGGAAAAGGCTGCATGTTGCAAAATATATTGTCAATGATGGTTTTAGAATTTTCTGCTGCCCTTGTAGGTTTTGTTATGAGCGGTAGTAATGAGAATGAAGCCATAGTGCTCACAAAATCCATTACAAATGCATTTGAGTCATATTTTAAAAGATCAACATTAAAGTCGCCCATCAATAAGCACGACTGAGATGTGAAAATAGGATGAGACAAGATATTTTGAATTCCAAGAATAAATTACTCAGTGTGAGATTGCGGTGGTCTGTATACTATGCCAACAACAATATTCTTATCACCTATAACACATATTTCAATAAATAGGGTTTCCAAGGAATCGGTCATAACAGTAAGATCATTTTTCACCTCATACTCAAAGTGTGTAGGAATATACAATGCTACACCGCCTCCTCTTTTCTTTTGTCTACTGTTGGTGATCATATTATAACCGGAAAGAGAATACATTGAATGAGGCGACCAGAGAACCATGTCTCCGTTATACCAATAAGTCTATTACTCACAATGATCTTACCAGACTGGGGATTTTGACACACCCATCAATTAAAATTAATTACTAAAGGTAGGTGTAAAAAAGTTTGATCAAGACAATCTTTGTTTCCCCTCCCTCCCCAACACTTTCCCATATGTGCAGGAGGTTGAAACGACGATAGGTGAGCAACGCTCCAGCTATGACTACGTTAACAGGACCGGCAAGGAGCTAGTAGTGGCTGCCAGGACCTCCAAGCAAGCTGAGAACATTCAGAAGGATGTAACTCAACTCAATAGAAACTGGGAAGATGTGACCAGGCTATGTGAGGACAGAAAGGCCCTTCTAGATAGGTCCATCAATGAACTTAGACTCTGGCTGGTATGTGCAGTCCCACTCCTACGTTTCCTTGTGGTCATCCATCTCAAAATGAAAATACTGTATTTTTATTTTTCATTAAATATCCTTGTTCTTTTATGATGATTTGATTCATCACAAAGCAGATGTGTTTGCTGTTTTTACAAATTTTTACTTATATTTATGAATTTTTAGCAAGAATTTCTTTGGGTTGAAAATCTGTTCGGACGATTAAAGGCCATTGTTAATTAGAACTTTTCATTGTTCAATATATGATACCTAAAACACACTTTGTAATTCAATATATAAAATCATCTGCCTGAATCTACACGGAAATCATCACTGATTGTTCCATTCAGGTAATAAAAAGGGATTCCATTAAAGTTCTGTAACTAAACCCAAGGTTAAAAAGTTTGTATGTTCTGCAGTGTTAGATATACAAGTAGACACCTCTCTGCCGTTCATCACTCATCTTTGTTTCTGCTCATCCCTCCCTCTAGGATGAAGTGAGTGGTCTAACCAGTTGGATGGATGACCTTGACGTGTTCTTCACAGCGGAGGAGGTTGCCATGGGTGATATAGATGTACTCAAGGACCAACTGGATCAGAGCAAGGTAATATTTGTAAAGTTATTCATTAAGTAGTAGAAATCTACTCTCTTCCTTTCTTTTATTTTCCCTGCTGCTCTCCCCTCCTTTCTGTGCTCGTATTCATCTTCTTTGTTCCCTGTGCCCTTAGTTTTCATCCTCTTGTTCTTCATTTTTTCTTTGCCCAATTTCTTGAAGATGACAGATAACCAGCCATCCAACAAGGGACAATATTATGATAAAATATAGAATAACATTATTTTATAATTGTCATTTTTTCAGTGTGTTGAAGATGATATAAACTTCAGTCCGATGGGAGAATCAATAGTAATCCATTATTTTTTTGATCGACTCAGTGCCTTGAAGATGATATCAAAACCTTGCAGTCCAATATGGACAACATCCTAGAGACGGGAGAACGTCTCATCCGGGACGGTGACCCCGCCTTCTCATCCCGCACACGAGGCGAGCTCGACGACCTCCACCAGCGATGGAAGAGAGTCACGGGTCTCGCCACAGAGCATCGAACAAACCTCACCGAAGCCTACCAAAGATGTCAAACTCTCAAAGGTAAGATTGAGAGAGAGAGAGAGAGAGACAGACAGAAAGACAGACAGACAGACAGACAGGCAGAGACAGAGAGAGAGAGAGAGAGAGCGAGTGAGAGATGAGCAGTTAGAATACATTGTACATTGCCGTGAGCCGGAAGGGGTTTAATTGATGTACACTTTATCCAATATTTCATCTATGAATGAAAATCTCTTGATATGGCTATGACTGATAATAGTGATTCCAGAATGTACCATTATTGAATCGATGTGTCTGGAGATTTGTATTGGACTGTTTGGACGGAATATGTTAAAAAAGGAGACATTGTATGGAATTGCTCTCTTCAGAGTTACCATCTTTTTGACTCTCAGCATTTGATATCTAATTTATGCTGTCTAAACCCATTGATCATAAAGACAGAGTATGAAGTTTGTGTTTTTTAGAAACAATAGCCCAAAATAAAATTGGTATTTAACAGGTTAATTTTCCTACACTGAGTTTTATGAAACTAAAATTGACATTACCATGTGTATTGAGCATGCAACTCTGTAACTACCTTCATTAGGAAAAGATGAGTGCCTAAGAAATGCATTTTTTTCATATCACTGTTCTAGATGAGTGACAGAGTACAAATTATTCTCTTTGACAAGGAACAAAACTGTAAATTTTATAACTAGACACATTTTTTTGTTAAATAACTGTCATCTAGGATTGTTTCTTATGATTTACTCTTGGTATGTCTGTACCCATTTCCCACAGCTAATATGCAAGACTTAGGGAGCTGTCTGGACCGATGCGAGGCAGACCTGGATCCTGGCAAGAAGTTCTCCATCCAAGATCCAGCTGAGATCCAGACCCAGCTGAAGAAATATATGGTAAGTCAAGAGACATGGGTCCATGGGTATTTGGCAGAGTTGTTTTTGTGAGCATATCGGCTTTGACTTGTGTCACTATTTTTGTGACTTGTAACTTGGGTAGAAACTAAATCACATTTTACTCATGAACCGACTTAAACTTATACAAGATCACTTTTGACTTCACTTTGACTAGTACAAAGAAATTTCTGTTTTTTTGTTGTTAAAGGTATAGACTTGTTTTGAAAATAATAGGTAGAAAAGGCCCCCCTCTCAAAAATTGAAATGGAAGCTCTTGTTAGAAATCATGTGAAAGAATATCTTTTGACTAATAGATGATGATACAAATTATGCCGAAAAACCGCTTACTAATTGATATATTTGGTAAATTATATCTATCCAAACTGGACAGATATCGCGTAGTCCCATATACATCTTTCTGTATACAGTGCTTGTAACTTTACCAAGACTGGGCCAAATTTCTTATCATTTTGATGATTCCAGAACCTTGCAGTACAAACCAATACTTATATGCTAGATGATCAACCTTTTCTGATCGATTCCACAACGTTGCATGACCAGAACTGGTCTATACCTTTCAAGTTTGGACCAAATGAGTTGCGGCTTGCCTACAGTGACTTTTATAAATCACGATTGATTCCAAGAAATGGCTTGAAATTACATCTCTGATTTTGTTTGGGGGTCTTGTACCATTAATAGAAAAAAACAATGGTTGTTTTCCTTCTCTAAATACTCAATAGAAAGAGGTTCATTTAAGAATGTATGGAAATGGGTATGAGATGGAAGTTTGTGTGAGAGAAAGTTGTAGCCACAAGCAAGTTATATAACTATTTTTCTTTTCTTTTTAATTTCATTGGGATAGAAGACAGTATCGTATATATATATTGATACTCAGCCTCCAATATGTTTATTTCTACAGAGTGCCTTGGAGGAGCTGGAAGCCAAGGAGAAGGTCATCACTGAGATCCAGGAGGTCGCTGAGAAGGTCAACCAGAGTTCAGAGGTCAAGACCTTAGTTGAGAGGTGGACAGTAATGAGAGCTCAAGTCACTGCCAAACACAAGGTTAATGCTAGAGAACTTTTCTTACTCCAGTACATTAAATTTTGGATGCCATCCATTTCTTTGTTTGTTTCAAGATTGTCTTGACATGCTTCATGGAATCTCGAATTTGGAAATTAAAAATTCCTCAAACTCCAATCTTACTTACTCTAACTGTTAAATACTTAAAATAAATTATATCTACCCAAAATATTGGTTAAAGATCTTAAACTGCTGATAAGGTGAAACGGAGCTACTCATCTTGCAAGTGTTCATTAGTAAGGTTACAGGTTGTTTTCTTGATCTACACCATTGATTTCCTCAAAATTGTATTGGGAAAACGTGGCTGTAAACTAGGTGACACCATAATAGTTCAACACCAATAATAGTTTGACACCAACAATAGTTGTTATTGTTGGTCTTTGAGTTGATGTGTATTTATGCAATGCCATAATTCATCTCTATCCCCATTATTCCTTGGCCTAGATTTTATCTGATGCCTCCGGGAGCTGGAAGAGACTGAAGCAGATGCTAACGGAAGAAGTGATCTGGATGGACGGCTTTGAGAAGAAGCTTTGTAGCCCATCTAGCAGTCTGGATGCGGAGGAGATATCGGAGGAGATTGATGTGAGTATGTAAGAGATGGTGGTGATGATGGTGATGATAATAAGAGGTAGGATGGACGGCTTTGAGAAGAAGCTTGGTAACATCAAATGACTGGATGATGAGGAGATTTCAGAAGAGATAGATGTGAGTATTACAAAAAATGCTGGTGGTGGAGATGAAAATGAGGAGGAAGAGAATGGTGGGCATAACGATGATGTTGATGATGATGATGATGATGATGATGATGATGATGATGATGATGATGATGATGATGATGATGATGATGATGACGATGACAATAATGATAATAATGATAATTGTGTCAACTGGGACAATGACTGATTACAATGGTGATTATTGTCTTTCACAATCACGTTGCTATCTTCCAGGCTCTTGAATCCACTGTTATGAAGCATGTTGGAGACAACAAGGACCTTATCACAGAGCTTGCAGATAACCTCATTGCTCAAGGCATCATGATTGTAACCATTGAGAGAGAAGTCAAACAGTTCAAGGAGAGGACTGAGGACATCTCACAACAGGTAGGAAAACCACTCACCTTCAAGGCCCTGTTTCATCAAACTTGATTTCAATAACAAGTTACAAGCTACTGTTATAAGCTACTGAAATCAAGGCATCTGATTGGCTCAGAGCAAATTTATCATACAAATTTAGCATTTGTTATAGATAACAAGTTTTATGAAACGGGCCTCTGTTATGATTGTCTGAGAACCCTCTCACAAAATTTGCATTTCTCCCATAAGCCAAGGAAAATGGAAATGATGCATATATGATTGTTTTGCCTTGAAATTTTCTTGAAAATGTTTATGAAATGCAGTGAAAACACCTTTTATGCTTGATAGCCATTATGAAAATGATCTTGGGGAGAAGAATGAACGGAATTAATTGGAGGGACAGAGTCACCAAGGAAGAATACTGACAGAAAATGAAGAAAACAACTTTGGAAACCAATCAGAAGCTAGGTGGGATTTGTCTGAAGGGCGAATAACATTAGAGATGTATTAGAAGAGAAGATGACTTGCCAATGGGGAAAGGATAGGCTGTGCGTTGGGATGATGTCTGATAGAGCAAATACACAATGAAGCAGAAGGCTTAGAATATAAGGGAATATAGAAAGGACAAACCAGATGGCTCTGGTGTGTGATCGGCCAAAAAATGAAAGAGGAGAGAGATCAACTGGAAAGCCAGATGAGAGATGTCTGTAGGTCATTCGTTCTATTTAATTCTTTCCATTTTCAGGCAAAGACCAGACAGGAGAAGTTGGAGAACAATGTCCAGCTCCTCCAGCGGCTTGAAAAGGACATGCTGACCCTACAAAATTGGATATCTTCAGCTGACCGTACCCTCAATGCTCGCTTGACCGCTCGACTATCAGCCATTGACCTGCCTGACGAGTATGAGGTAAGGTCAAGTGTGAAGAACGTTTGTTAAAAACAAGAGGATGAAACGCACATTCTTGTTTCTTATATTGTAAACTATCAGTGTCATTTTGTAAATAAACAATCGTACTCATCAATTTTGTCAACTTGGTAGTGATTCTGATGAGCATTGCTGTAGAGTTATGAAAGTAGTTAAGATGATGCCATTCTCTTCTTTCAGAATGCCTTTCAATTATTGAAATATGCAAAATGATGTATATATATATATATATATATATATATATATATATATATATATATATATATATATATATATATGAGGAGGATTAAATTTAATTAAATCAAATCAGAATTTGCATTTTCTCATCCCTTTATGATTCTTCAAAAAACTTTTTCATCTCTCAATCCCCATGTCTTATTAAATCAAAAATATTTATGCAATCTTCTTCTTTTTGTGGGTTCTTAATCAGTCCCTCTGTCACTCTGTATGTGAGAAAAGCTAAAGTCTGTTGTTTTCTTTTATGGTACCCCACCTTTTTTCTTTTCCCTCTTTGTACCCCCCCCCCCCCCTTACACTCTCTCTTCTCTGTTTTCCCATTTCTCTTGCACTGTCTCTTTCCTCTGTGAATATCTCTCTCTCTCTCTCCCATGTTCATCATTAAAATGTTCACAGCATAAACTACCATTACACCCTTAGCAACCATAGTAACCATCATAATCAAAGTTGTCACTCTGACAAAAGAGCAAAGTATCCAATACTTAGACCTAAGCCTTCCAAGTTAGAACAGATTTGATGATATTTCATTTTTTGTTTTACTCAGCAATGGAAGGTTGAGCTTGACTTGAGAGAGACCGACTTCATCAACATCAACACAAGAGCCAAAGCACTGATGGAACAAACTGCTTCATCGGCTAATCTGAGACTACAGCAACAAGTAGAGATACTCAGGGTAAGAACAATAGATTACAGAGAGAGAGAAAGAGAGAGAGAGAGAGAGAGAGTGAGTGAGAGAGAGAGTGAGTGTGTGTGTGAGAGAGAGAGAGAGAGAGGTGGAGAGAGAGAGAGAGAGAGAAAAAAATAGCCACAAATAAAAAAGATAAAGAGAATAATAGGGAAAACATAGACAGGAAGACAAATGAAGACAATGTACAAAACTAATCCATAAATATGGTGGTGAGATCTTTATTCTGTAATCTGTATTCATTGTGTACATTGTATACAAATTGAGAAAAAGAGAGGAAATATTTAATGAACATTCAAAGGACTTTAATTCAGAGTAAAAGAGAGAGAGAGAGAGAGAGAGAGAGAGAGAGAGAGAGAACAGAATGGAAAGTTTAAACAACAAATGACAAATTGTGAAGGGGATTGATCTAGAAAATAAAGCTTTCACAGTAAAACTCGACGTTCAATATAAAGAAGAGGCTCAAATTGAAGGCATTTTAATAAATTTTCACACTATATTTCCTTTTGATGAGTTACAACTTTATCAATGTCACTTCTCCATCTGTAGAAAAACCTTGATGATGTCCATGGCAAGTTCCGTAGGTTCCAGAAGCCGGCCGACTTTGAGCCCAAGATGGCCCACGTGAAGGAGATCTTGGACTCAGTCATGGAAGGTATTGGAGTCCTGGAACTTCGCAATGGAGAACCAGAGGTGATTCAGACCCAGCTTGATGCTTGCATGGTGAGTCATGGGTTCAAATCTTAAAAGCTTCTTGTCATGATAAGTAACTTGAAAATTAGGGATATGAATCATATTCTTCACTCTTTCTGTGAATATTTTTTAATTATCTATCAAACTGAATCCATACTTAGATATCCACTGTATGTTTGGTAAAAAATAATCCAAACATAGAGATTGAGTTGACAAAAGTGTGTCAATGAAATTACCTATTTCCAGGGTACTTATTTAACATTCTCCCACAGTCTCCTAAATGTATATTGCAAGGATCTCCATGAAGATGTGCTTTAAGTTTGATGGTTATTAGATGAAGAGATAAGAACATTAGTGTACTCAAGTTATACAATGCTTCACTATGTCTGAGGAAATGCACTCTAAGTTTAAAAGTAATTGAAAGTAATTTTAAGAGAAGCAGTTGCTCAGTATACTATATATATATTCTCTTTATGATTCTTGAAAGCTTACTGAAGCAAAACAACAAAAACAAAAAAACATATAAACACAAACACGTAGAGAAAGGAAAACTACACTGTATGTCGACCTTGTTCCTGTTTTTTTTTCTCCCTAAATAAATTTTCACAAAAGGTCTGTTGACAATGGCATTGTATTTCATAAATAATAATAATAATGATAATAATGATAATAATAATAATATTTTAAAGTCCAAATCTTATTGTCTAATGCATTATGTTGTCATTACGTTTCACTTTCTTGTGAAATGTGCAGGGTTTCTACAAGACAATGAGTGAGGTCAAGCCTGAGGTAGAGTATGTGATCAAGACAGGACGAGCTCTGGTTGAGAGGGAGAGAGGAGAGGCTCAGCTACAGCTTACTGAACGACTCAATCAACTTAAAAAGCAGTACAATGAACTGGGGGCAAAGGTCACGGATGGAAAGGTCAGTTGAACATAATGTTTAGCTACAGAAGCAATAGCCTAGTCTAAGTGTCTTTTACTGGTTTGAACATTTGAGACCTCATTGGCCCGAATTCACAAAGGAGGTTTGTCGACAAACCTAGGTTTATGTGCGTCGAAACTTGTAAAAACGCGTCATAACGCGTCATATGACGCACATAAACCTAGGTTTGTTGACAAACCTAAATTTTTGAATTTGGGCCATAATGTTTAACCATATACCTTTATTACATGTACAAGTAAATTATTTTAAAGCCTTAAATGATACATTTTCATGTATGTAAGTCTTGCAGGAAAGGGTATGATGTTTTTTAAATGCTTTTTAAAATGTGTTGAGCAAGGTAAATTAATCATAAATGACGAAGCTTGTATACACATCATAAACGTTATATTTTGCTTTCTTAGTGTAGTGTATGATTACCTGATAATGTCAAATATCAGCCAGGAGAAAAATGTTTTAGTTCCGCAAGGGTTTCTTATAATTATGCAGTGGGTCTCACACATGCAGAAGCTTTGAAAGACTATAACTATCTGGGGCTATATCGCACTTTACTAACATTCTCTATGTCTCGGGTATTTAATTTGTCCTTTTCACAGCTTTGCAGTTTTATAAACAAAAACACTAAATCAATCCTTATATTTGTCAATTTACCTTTTTATGTCTTATGTATTGTATGCACAACTTGTAGATGAGAAATCCACATTTTCTATTTAATAAAAAACTATTTTCATACATTATTGTACTTACTGCTTTCTTAGCATTAATAGACCAGTTCATGGTTAGCACATCTCTGCAATGACCCCAAATATCCACAGATCTTCAAAACATGAAGAGGTCCCACTTTGTACATTTTAAAATATTCACTCCTACAGCGATGGAGGTGCTACATAAATAGCCTTTGTTTCCCCTTTTCAAAGAATACTTCCACCTGTAATTCTGCCTGTGTATCATGGAATGCACTGCTTGTTCATTTATGAATAATGATTACATAACTTTCATGAGCATGTATCAAGTATTTCGTCTCCGTGTATTTCACAATTTGTTCTGCAATGACCTTTATCTGCTCATGCTCAGACTGCAACCGTGAACTGGCTTATTGTATTATGTGATGTCTCTCAACCAATAGCTTCTAAGATGCTTGATCAGTACATGAATATGAATTACCAGAAGCCAAGTCTTTCACAAGAAGCTTATAGAAACTCTGCATGGGCATGTCATTTCGGTGACAGAAAATTTCCATAATTAATTCATTTTGAAAGAACTCACGGTGATAGGAAGATCAATACTAAGTCATTGGTCTCTCTCTATTCATGAATGTTTGTTATTGTCAGCCAAATGTAGAAAATTGAAACAAAACAGAGAAAAAATGTGAAGAAATTTTAATTTTAAACATAGAACGAATTGATTTTGGATATTTGTTGCACATTTTGGACCTATTTTCTAGCTGCCTATTGTAAATCAGTGGTGAAGGCCACAATTTCATGAATTTAGATCAATTGTGTTTAAATATATTAACTGCTTTCATACTTAAAGCCTGTGTAGAACAGTTTGGGGTAAAGAATCCTTTCATCAGTATGACTGAAAAATGAGTAACATTTTCATAAAACAGCTGTCAGAATGTCTGTATAGTTATGAGACCAAGTCATTCCCTTAGCAGTTGCATGATTTTCAAAATCTTTCTAAATTTTTCCTGTCATACTTTTTTGTTAAACATTCAGCGCAGACAAGTGTACATTTATCTACAAATTTTATGAGCCATGACAGAGTTTTAGAGATTACGAACCTGCTTTAGATTTGCACACGCTTTCCAATGTACATGTACATGGAGTATTAGGAGTGCAGAGCAAAACATGTGGACATATTTGATATTTGCTTTTGCAATGAATCTGGACTTGATCGACCAACATAGGCTGTGAATATGAAAGTGGTTTTTAAAGCCCATTTGGGAGCCCCAAATTCACCAAAAATTAAATGGCAAAATTTCACTTAAATTGTATTTTAATGTGAAAGAGGATGTAATTTCAGACACATTTTTTGCAAAGATTTCCCCCCTCAAAAATGTGTTTGAAGACAAATATTGATAAAAGGATACATAATTTGGGTTTTCTGTTGTAAGCAGAAAACCTAAATTTGTATTCTTTCATCAATATTCAACTTCAAGCACATTTATTTTAAACATCCTAGCAGAAACGTGTCTTAAATGACATCGTCATTTGCATTATGATACAATTTAAGTGAAATTTTGCTATTCAATTTTTGGGGCTCCCAACACTTAAGAGGGGCTTTAAGGTATTAATGCACCTAACATAATTTTTCACATGTATCTTCACTCACTCTATGTTTGTGTGTGTGTTTGTGTGTGTTTCCTCACTGTTCACCTACTGTAGAGCAAGCTAGATAGGGCACTCAAAATCTCACGTAAGCTGAAGAAAGAACTGACGATACACCGTGATTGGCTACAGGAGGCCGGTATCACCATCGACAAACGTTCGGCTGATGATAAACCGGGCCAAGCACCTCAAAGTCTGAATGAAGAACAGGAGTGGTGTAAGGTGTGTGTTTAACCATTTCTCTCTCTCTTTCTCTCTCTCTCTCTCTCTTACTTTCTCTATATCTCTCTCTCTTACTTTCTCTCTCTCACACTCTTTATCTCTCTCTCTCTCTTACTCTCACACTATTTATCTCTCGCTCTCTCTCTCTCTCTCTCTTTCTTACTTTCTCTATCTCTCTTTCTCTCTCTCTATCTATCTCTCTCTTTCTTACTTTCTCTATCTCTCTTTCTCTCTTTCTCTCTCTCTATCTATCTATCTCTTTCTTACTTTCTCTATCTCTCTTTCTCTCTCTCTCTATCTCTCTCTTTCTTACTTTCTCTATATATCTTTCTCTCTCTCTATCTATCTCTCTCTTTCTTACTTTCTCTATCTCTCTTTCTCTCTCTCTATCTATCTCTTTCTTACTTTCTCTATCTCTCTTTCTCTCTCTCTCTATCTATCTCTTTCTTACTTTCTCTATCTCTCTTTCTCTCTCTCTATCTATCTCTTTCTTACTTTCTCTATCTCTCTTTCTCTCTCTCTCTATCTATATCTTTCTTACTTTCTATATATATATCTCTCTCTCTTTCTTTCTATCTCTCTCTATCTCTTTCTCTCTCTCTCTCCCTTACTCTATCTCTGTTTTTCCCTGTGTCTTTCTCTCCCATTTGATCTCTCTCTCTTCTTTTCTTTGATCTGTTTGTCCGTCTCTCTCCATTTTGCTCGCTCTTTTATCTCACTCTTATTTTCTCTCTCTCCATCCATTTCTCTCTCATTTTCTTGCTTTCTTTTTTCACTTTTCTCTTTCAATCGTTATGTCACTGTTGTCAAAGTCATGGTTCTTCAAAGTATATGTTAAAAGGTTTGTTACTCTGAAGAGCCTTATAGGTACCAATATCCAATTTGAATATCATACGCAGTGCATTATATTTAATCATACTGTCACCATTTTTTCATGACATAGTATTTTTTGCATAATGAATATAATTATGATTTTTATTTTTCTATATTAAAGCTGTATTTCATATTTACATATATTTACGCCTTTTATTTATTATTTTATCATATTGCCATTAATACAAGCAAAAGCGTTTATATCTACATTCATAAGCATACACTGTTTTTTTCTTTACACAAATGAGATGCTATACATGTAGCTGTACCTATCAAAATTAATGAAGTTATTGTAATATGATCGTATTTGTTATAATAATAGTAGTTGTCAAAAGTAGATATCAACCTGTTGATTATTATATTCTCTCATTCTCCCAGGGTTTCATTTGTACAGATATCACCTGTTCAAGTAGGCAATTATTTAAAATAGTAGATTTTTCATAATAGTTTTTAACATTTCAATGTTTCTGCACTCACACTCTGTGTTGAATTTGAATAATGATTCTTTTAGTGGATTAACACATTTTTGTCATTTAATGCTTTACCTAGTCACAGATAGTCAGAAAATAGAATGCAAATCCCAGAATTCACCATATTACATTTTACGTGCCATGAAATTCTTTGAACTTCTAAACAGTACAAATCAGACTGGTTGATAAAAAAAGAAAGAAATCTTTGTTGTTCTAAAAGGTACCCTTTTCAATATCTGGACACTTTTTTAAAGTTATTGTTTGTTAACATTTTAATCAAGGAAAAAGCATCCCTGAATGTTTTAAGATAAATTAAAATTTATATGGAAGAGAATAATAGATTTTCAAATTGAGGATTCTCTGTGTATCATGGTGTGGAGAACATAGATCATCCTTACTAGTGAAGTGATTTCAACCTGCTCATCTAACCTTTTTGAAATATTTTCATCCTTTGGACTGATTCTCAACCTTTATTAGAAAGACTGAGATAATACTTCCAATAGATATCCAGAAATGAAGATCTATGGATGAGCTTTTCACCATACACATACTCTATATTTTACGCCTAAAAGAACTGTAAACCTTTGTTTTTAATATATAAACATAAAGTGACACATATGTTTACATGTACTTGTACTGGACATGTCTTGCACTATTAAGCACTACATGGTACATGTATATGACACCATTAAACAGTTCTCATATCTTTATTTTCCTGTTGTTTGATAGGTTTATAAACAATGTGGACCAATATGGAATAAACATCTTGTGAAATGTCAATCTAATCTTCTCAATTATAATTCCCCTCATTCCTCACATGGACTGCTTCTTGTCCACATACCTTCAGTTGACGGACCAGGACATCAGCAAACACAAGAGGGCCTTGAGTGATGCCTTGGTGCTGTCGGAGCAGCTTACTAAGCTGTCTCCAGAGGGCGGTCTTGATGCAATGAAGGTTGATGCGGAGGCACTGCAGCATCAGGCGGGAGAGTTAGAAGAAAAGCTGGCCAAGAGGAGAGCACATATACAGGTAGGATACTAATTATTTCTCATCTCACTTTTTATGTTGATGATGATTGTTTGTGAAGTTGTAAGTCTATACTTATGGACTAAGTAATTGCATGTTGGAGATGCATGAAAATATTGATGTGCTTTCTATGAAACCAATGTTATTTGGATGATTGATTGCTGTGATGATGATGAGGATGATGAGATGAGGAGGAGGAGGATGAAGATGAAGTTCAGTTTGAAGTTTTGGTACGGTATTTAGAGTGATTATTTAAGTGATAATGGTGACAATGACACTATCATGATGACACTAATGATGATAATAGTGACCAAGTGGAGTGATGAGACCAATCATTTTAGTGATGATGCTGCTGCTGCCAATGAAGACTTTGTTAATGATGACAGTGATGATGATAATCAAGATGATGATGGTGGTAATCAAGATGATGATGATGATGATGATGCTGATGATGATGATGATGATGATGATGCTGATGATGATGATGATGCTGAGGCTGATGATGATGATGATGATGATGATGATGCTGATGCTGATGATGATGATGATGATGCTGAGGCTGCTGCTGCTGATGATGATGATGATGATGATGATGATGATGATGATGAGAATGGTGATGGCGATGGTGATGATGATGATGATGATGCTGATGATGATGATGATGATGATGATGATGATGATGATGATGAGAATGGTGATGGCGATGGTGATGATGATGATGATGATGATGCTGATGATGATGATGATGATGATGATGATGATGGTGGTGGTGATGGTGATGGTGATGATGATGATGCTGATGATGATGATGATGATGATGATGCTGATGATGATGATGATGCTGAGGCTGATGATGATGATGCTGATGCTGATGATGCTGATGATGATGATGATGATGCTGATGATGATGATGATGCTGAGGCTGATGATGATGATGATGATGATGATGATGCTGATGCTGATGATGATGATGATGATGCTGAGGCTGCTGCTGATGATGATGATGATGATGATGCTGATGATGATGATGATGATGATGATGATGATGATGAGAATGGTGATGGCGATGGTGATGATGATGATGATGATGATGCTGATGATGCTGATGATGATGATGATGATGATGATGATGATGAGAATGGTGATGGCGATGGTGATGATGATGATGATGATGATGCTGATGATGATGATGATGATGATGATGATGATGATGGTGGTGGTGATGGTGATGGTGATGATGATGGTGATGATGATAATGATGATGATGATGAGAATGGTGATGGCGATGGTGATGATGAGCATGAAATTAGGCATAAGATGATACATGTAGAAGTTTATTAAATGGGGCTGAAGGATTTGCAAAAACTCAGATGTGAGTTGCCATAACAAACAGTGTTTAATCTGATCCCATTACCAGCAATTGATGACAGACCTGCAAGCCAAGCTGCACTATTTCAGTAGATAATGCATCCATCTAGACTAAACAGTTACCATGTGAGATAGTGTCAACCATTATGGTGATACCTCACAGCTCCTGCTTGTCATCTGTGAAACATTTATCAGTCATGCAACATAGTACAGACCTATAATGTATAATGTTGAAGGAGATATGTAGAAATTGGTGTAGAAATGGATTCTGCCTACTTGTGATAAAATTAAAGCAAATTTCTTTCAAGACAATAAATTTTTATAGATTTAATCCTAGTTAAGTTGAATAAATCTCATCATTCAAGTACACTTATAGTGAATTGTAACACAATTTACATTATTAACCTTATCCTACACTTGGCTCTTTCAATCTTAAGGCTTGATACATCAAATTATTTTTTAGTGAATTTTGTTTTTTTTCCCCAGCCTCGTCTTTCACCCAAATGATAGATTTAAAAGTTGCACATGTGTAAACATACATAGTGTAATCCAGTAGTGAGCTATTTATAAATCATTTAACCAAAATTGAGAATCTAGAGTGATTGATATAGGAACAAACTTGTGACTGTAATTGAAACTGTAGATGTAAATATGAGGAATATTGTAGATGGTGTAGTTGAGTGAGAATATCAAGATCTGTTTACAGGTCACATACCACTTTTGAACCAAAGAGAGATTTATATGTGTCTGATTTGGACCCCGTCTCACAAAATTCTATGTTTACTCTGTCTTTACTTGTCTGTCTTTCCTTTTTCTCCTTTCTTCGCTCTCTCTCTCTCTCTCTCTCTCTCTCCCTCTTTCCCTTTTTCCCTTTCTCTTTCTTAATCTCTCTCTCCCTCTCTCATTCTTTCTGTTTTGGACCCTGTCTCACAAATTATGTTAACTGTGTTTTCTTGTCTCTGTATCCATTCTTTCCCCACTCTCTCTTTCTCTCCCCCCTCTCTCTCTCTCTCTCTGTCTCGCTCCGTCCCTCCATCTATCTCTGTCTCTCTCTCTCTCTCTCTCTCTCTCTCTCCCTCTCTCGATCATTCTCCATCCTACCCTTCCTCTCCCTCCTTCATCTCTCTCTTTCTCTCCCAATTTCTCTCTCTATCTCTCTCAACTTCTTTCTCCATCTCTCTTTCTGTCTCTCCCCTATCTCCTCACTCTCGCTCACTCTCTCACTCTCTCTTTTTCTTTCTTTCCTTTCCCATCTCTCTCTCTCTCTCTCTCTCTCTCTACTGCCCTCTCCCTCCTTTCCTCCCTCCCCATCTCTCTCTCCCTCCCTCCCTCATTCTTGTCTCGCTCTCTTTCTTTCTTTTTTGTTGTTGACAGCTCATCTTTCCTTATTTATTACTTCTACATTTTTATGTACATGTATATCTTTGTTAGTAATGTTGCGTTACGTAACGTATATACACTGTTTGCTGTACTGCTGTATTTCTGAATAAATCAAGCCCCTAAAGTTATTTTTTTGCTTAAAACTAAATCTTTCTCCATCTTGTTGATTTGCAGACCTACCAGGATCAATTGATGACGTTCCGTGGTGACCTATCAGGGGTCAAGGAGTGGCTTGGGGAGGCTCAGACGAAGCTGGATCAATCTAAGAAGCTGGACAGAGAGGAGTTAGTCAGTGAGCAGGAACGTCAAGCATACCAGGTAAGCACAGATAACTAACTTTATTTCCAATGTTTACAAATATTGGTTCGTACTGCTTGTTTGTTATTTTGATAACAGATAATGCATTAATTACATGTATTACATTTATGTTTTTAGTGGAATCCAGTGTATTTTGGTAATTTTTTGTTTGTTTATGTTGTATTTGTTGTTTTTTAACGCTTCTGTATTATGATTTTTGATTTCAAATAGACAAATACATTATACATACAGGTAACAGCACTTCATAATGCAAACTCTGATTAAATCACAAATTATGCCATTTTGAAGTTACATGTACATAATTGTTTTAAATTCTGGATGAAGTGTGAATACACAAAATGTCATTTTAAGGTGAGATGAAATCTGTTGCAATTATATCAAATGAAAGTGAATAGTCTCCAATATATTTTTTGTTTGTGTATAAGAATAGTTTGTTTATGTTTACTTATTGCTGTTGTATTTTTATAATTCATTTGTTTAATGGTCCCCTCCCCAAATTTGTTTTTTAATAATTGTAAAATAGGCCTACGCTTATTTAAAGGTATTTTGTTGCATAGTTAATTGAAATTGTATCCGGTTTTTATCTGGCGATTTGTATTGATACCAGATGTTGTGTGCCGTTTATCCAACAATACTGCTCTATTGCTTCAAAATTGTTTTCAAATGTCATATTCTGATTTTTAAAAATTTGAAAATTTCATTTAGAACAGCAATGAATACAGAGCCATTGTTCCCAGAAATGATTTATTTAGTCTTGAAAATCTGAAATTAATTGGACATCTTAAATCATTCGTTAGAATCATCTACCTCACATCAGAGCCAATTAGTAAAATGTGTAAATCTTTCTCTTCAAATTGGCAATGAATGTGGACCCTTTACAAGGCCTCTCTTTATTGCACCCTCAGGTATAGATGACATATTTGAGAGACTTTGCTAGGTCAAAGGTCAAAGGTGATGGGGGTATATATTTGTATTAGGATTTGGGGCTTGTTATCCCTATGACTTTAAGTGCATGCCCCATTGGCAGTGAACTGAAACTAGTTTTGTTTAGATATGCGTTGAGGAAAAGCTGTAGGAAATGATGATGTTTCCTCAGAGAGAGAGAGATGGATGTTTAGTCAAATTGTTCTCTAGAGATGGAAATGTGGGGTGTGTTCCTAGAACTTTGGAATAGTTGTTCAGCTTGGAGGAAAAATGAAGGATTCATGGAATATCCTTTGTAGCAAATCATAGAATATGATGACACGTCCAAGGTGTGCCCAATATGTCACCAAGTATTATTGAATTGTGTTATGGAATAATGAACATAAATTGACATAGATATGTCATGTTTCATGTTTTGTCTGATTCCAGAACTAGTAGGGTTATCAACTTGATTCAGTCATCAGATATACATGCACTCAAACATTATAGTTGTGATTGGTAGCTTATATGGAAAGATATAGCTTGGACCTAATCAACTACCCTGTACCTTTGACATGTAGGGGAAAAGAATTGTCAGATCAATTATGAATAAACATGTAGCATGATGAGATACTTGTACTGCCCATGAGCGTGTATGCCTGTATGTTTGCTGCCTGAGCTGAGCTGTGGAGCTCCTAAAATCACCTCATCTTCTTGCATCTGGAGTCCACTATCAATAGCATGGGATATATGAACCATGCAGATGATTACGAGGGCAAGATAACAAATCTCTCGATACACTATACATACTCCTACATGACAAAAGGTAACAACTCACATAGGAATAAAAACAGCCCTTAAACATAACTTCCCAATATAATTTTGGTGTTAAGCTGCATTAAATGCATTATTAGGTGTCAGTAAATTTTTTACACAATTCCAAGCATCATATGACAGGCCTAATCTTAATTCTTGTAATTTCAGTCCCGTAACATATCTCAGTGTATTATGTATCATATTGAGTAGTGAATTCTCAAAACGACTCCTTAAGATGAGTGAATTCTCAAAGTTAATTGGCCTGAAAGGCTTGCTTCGGTGGTTTAATACCTGTCCCAAGCTATTGTTGAGTTCTCACTTCTCCAGGACTGTTTTTTTTTTTAAGGTCCCGCTTTTATATAATTCTGAAATTGCTGCACTTCTGTTCTTACAACCTTTTGCCTCTATCACAGAGGATATCATCTGTATACACCCAAACTCTGTTGAGTTTTGATTCATGCTCTTACAACCTTTTGCCTCTATCACAGAGGATATCATCTGTATACACCCAAACTCAACTGAGTTTTGATTCAGTGTCAGATGGGAATAAAAGTCTGAACTTCAGACTGTTAATATTGACCTTGAACCCCCACTGCATTCCATATCACGGTTGCTATGGTTACTCAATACCCTTAGGACTTCTCTTCCATAATGCACTTTTCTGCCTCCTCCTCCTCCTCGATTGTTTAGGATAAATCCGTGAGAAATGTTTAGTTGTGGGAAGTTGGCAGTCTGCATAGGAATGAAAAGGATTTGAGTCTCGTATAAAGTTTAGAGGTCTTATATCAAATACACAGTACAGTACAGTCCTCTATTCAAACAGTGGAAGACTTTGATGTTGACTTGCTGCATTGAAAGTACATGTAAGCCTGAGTTAAGTTTATACACTGTATGGTGGCAGATGTTAACCATAAACTCTTCTACTTTTATTGGTGATTTCAAGTGTTTCTTATGCTTTCCAGTCCACTGTGTTAATCTATTGTGTGATGTTGTCAAATTTTCTTAATATTTGTCTTTGACATTTTGTTTTCTTGAAAAATGGCATTTTAGTCAAACTTGTCTAGAAAGGACTCCCTAGGAAGACACAAAGAGCAGTCTGTATAGACAGGTGATCATTAAAGGCTCATTACCATTCGATGCGGTGAACTATCTCAAAATTACCAATGCTGCAAAATAAAAAAAACATTTTACCTGTAAATGAATGGCAGGTTGGGTCGAGAAATGTAGCTGCACTCAACCAAACCCCTAAGCATAGTCACTTTTTCATGTGTGTTATAAGATTTTCAGAATTGTGTGGCACACTTTGCTTCACTTGCTACTGTGGCTTTTTGAGGCAGTTAATGGCATGTTACATATAGGAATGAAGCTCAAAGCAGGTTTGACTGCACAGTACATTGTATTTGAAATTCCCAGTAATGATGTGGTGAGCATATTAAATAATATTTGTTGTTTGTTTCCCCTCCCTCCATCCATCAGAGGCTACAAGATGAGGTGGATGACCTCACCCACAGAATAGAGGAGGTGAGAGACCAGGCTCTGGAGTTGATGAAACTTGGCGGAGATTGCCGTCGATCTACAGAACCAGACCTCATTGCTCTTAACCAGAAGTGGGAACAAGTCTGTAAGGGAATTAAGGTGAGTTCTGATATGTTTGAGTTGTTTTCCATCAATGTATGGTAAAGGAACATCTGTAGAATTGAAAAGTTCATTTAACTTATTGGCTATTGAATTCTCTGCTTCACAACATTTTGTAGGCAATAGGTTAAATGAGTGTGGACTTTAAGGCTTGTTTGGGGGATTCACTGAGTCTTATAGAGATATCTGTCTTGAGTCAAATTTTTATTGTGAAACACAGGGTGAATTTTTCCTCCTGGTATGTTGGCTCAGTCAGTAGAGCGTCCCCTCACAACTGGGAGGTCGTGGGTTTGTACCCCGGCCGCGTCATACCAAAAAACTTTAAAAGACGGGAGTTGCTGCTACCTTGTTTGGCGTTCAACATTAGGTACTTTTCGATTTGCACGTTCATAAGTGGACTGCGACGTATGCGGTCATTTTTAAGCAGGATTGACGAGGCATGCCGACTGTTGTTCGTTACCTTTTCGATTTTACACAACTACGACGCTCGCTTAGTGAGCGCGAAACTTGATCGAATAGCTAAAGATACATGTATAACACCAAATTCGGTGCATGGCACTGTTCTCAAAAATTATGCTGCAACAGATGAGCGTTGCATAAATAAAATGTGTTCATTTTATGAATTATTCTGCTTAGTGAGCGCGACATTCGATCGAAAAGCTAAAGATTCAACACACCAAATTGGGTGCATGGGACTGATCTCAAAAATTATGCTGCACCAGATTGGCGATACACAAATAAAATGTGTTAATTTTATGAATTATTCTGCAACAATTTTGATTTAAAGGAAATTACAGACACAAAAATGTGTTAATTTAAGAGAATTCACGCTTCCAACACTCTCCGGTTATAGAATTAGGTCAATTGGGTCCATTTTGTGACTTCAATGTGATGTTTCGTGCCTACAAAAGATTGCTTCCGAACATGTATCGTCACAGTTTGCGAACGACGGCAAAACAAGGGCGAACGCGTTCGAGAATTCTGCTACGAACAATGAGCTCGTCGATGCGCATGCGCACTGCTTCAAAAGTGACCGCATTCGTCGCAGTCCACTAGTAAACGTGCAAATTGAAAAGTCCCTAATAAAGGGATAGAGCAACGTAGATCTGGCGCTGCACAGTGGCTGCCGGGCTCACGATCAATAGGGCAAAAAGAATTTCCATTTTCGGTTTAATAAAATTTGGAGTGGACTTTAAAAGATTATTATTATTATTATTATCAATTGCACCATTCAGGAACAGCAAGTCAAGCAGAAGCAGACAGCCCAAGAGCTTGAAGGAGAATCCCGGCTCCGTGCTCAGGCAGAGGCGGAGCAGAAGGAGCAGAAGGAGCAACAGCAACAAGAGCTACAGGAGAGGCTCCTTCAGCAACAGCAGGAGACTGTGGTAGACTCCAAACCTATCAGCATCTCATCTACACCACCAGCTGCAGCTAACCTCAACAACAACAATGCAGATGTAATTGTGAATGAGGCACCGCTTCAAGAAGAGAGAGTGAATGTGGTGCAGACGGTACCAGTGCAATTGACGAAGCTGGAGCAAGCAGCGCCCCCACCTGACAGGATGGAGGTAGGTTTAGGCACCCACTTTACAATATTGTGTCCTTCAATATCTTGTTTGCAAGATTTGGGAAGCAAGTCTTGACATTACAATTTCTAAAAAGTGACTGCCTTTTAAAAAGTTTTCCAAATTGAGTTTCAAAGCAGATATATTACCTTTCTTAAAGACATTATTGGTCTTAGCTCGAGATGGAAGCTGTTTAAATTAGGATGTCTCAAATACAACTATTCTAAAATGTTGAGCAAGATTTGATCCCCATGGCGTTTTAAAGGGTTAAAGTGAATTGTCATTCCAGGACAGTCATATTAGAGTAGCTTTCTGTGCCACTTGAAGTTGTTAACTTCTGACTTTCCCATTTCCATAGGCTTTATAAAGGACCATCTCACAGTTCCAATAGGCAATGATTTGAGTGAAACTGATGTTGAATTGAAAACTATATAAACCGATATGACTGCTATGAATAGATTACCTGTTGATATCAGATTGACAAGGTCTAGAAATAGGTTTCGGAATTCTGTTACAAGTCATTTGTTGAACAAGTCATGAATGAAATATCAAGTTAAATAATCTCATGTGTACACAATTCATATTTTACATTATTAGTTTGTATCTTGTAAGACATGGTTGAGTACTGATTCTTGTTTTTTTAAAGTATTGATTGTAAAAGTAAATTCGTTATTTTTTGTTTTGTTACATTCTCTAAACTGATTTGTACCAAGATACTTTGTTTAGCTTTTAAGGGGTTAGGCTCGACTAGCACATGTGCTATTAGCTGGCCTCTTTTACCAATCAATAGTTTCTCTTCTTGTATATGTAAAATGTTGTATGAAATTGATTGCTGTTGGTAAATAAATCAAATCAAATCAAAATAACTGCCCTAGGTGGATGAACAGATAGAGAAGCAGGAGGTCACAACCGTTGAATGTGCCCCTACCAACCTGGAGGACATGTTCCAAGGCATGAAGGACCAGGATGCAACCCCCATGAAACCACCGACATCGTCGACCACCATGGATGTCAATGCGTCAGGCTACCTACAGGAGTTCAATGATATCCTAGAGCAGACAAACATCGCCATCGACCTCTGCGACCACCGGCTGACGAGAGATGGGCAGCTCAGGGATAAGGACTTTGATGTGGATGTCGAAGCCAATGTAAAGGTAGGTTTTCGTACATCTTGTCAGGCTTGAGGTGTTCCTTTTATCAATGAAACTTATAAATTAAAATTACCTTTGAATCACTGCAAGAAAAATGTAAGGATTTGATTGAAAATTAAATGTGTTCAAAGATTGCAGCACGTATTACAAAATATACAAATACAAAGTGCCATCTTATGTTTAATTCTGTCTTAAAAAATGTTCTGATGTTTCATTGTATTAAGTACCAAAATTACTAGTGTAAAGAAAATAAAAGTATATTTCAAGAGCTGCTTTTGAGCTTATAAGAGCATAATTTTATCTTAACTGAATTTAGAACTATTTGAAAAAGGCATAGTGACATAGATGTATTTTGATATTATAATTTTAAGCAGGGGATGATCCCCGATGAACCTCTGTGGTTTTTGATCACCCCCTCTGCAGGTTCATCTTTTGTTGTAATGCTTTTATGAATCTGTGGAAATAAATGAAATTGAAATTGAATTGAAATTGATGTATTGAATTTGAAATATAAAAGGAGATTACTATTTTTCTTCTTCTTCTTTTCTTTGTGTGTTCAGGACACGGAAGAAGCTCTGGAGAACCTTGAACCAGACGTTGAGTCTCTGATCCAGCAGGGAGAACAGCTCCTGCAGATGACCCAGGCCAAAGATCCCGCTCAAGCACAGAAGCTAGAGCTCAAGATCAACGGTCTCAAGGAACGCTGGTTAACCCTGGAGAGGGATGCTGAGAAGAGAAAGAAGACTCTCCAGGTGGTGGTTCCTCAGTGGTACCAATTCAAGAACCAGACGGACCAGATGGAGAGATGGATGGAAGGAGTAGATGAACAGATGAAGGATGGGATGGAGGATGAGGAGAAAATGAAGGTAGAATAATGAATCTATGAGGTTTTGACTTATGGTATTCGATGTGAGTGGGGAAGTTAATTGGTGGTGGTTGTTATTTTACCTGACTGCTAAGAAAGCATAAATGCTTGTAAATAAGCAACCAGACGGCCGACGGCTTTAGGTCCTCTCCGAGGGACCTGGTAATGAGGATTAATGCCTTACCAAAGGGCACTAGCGCATTGCCTTGGTTTCGAATTTGGGTCACCGGATTACGAGACCACTGCTCTACCGACTGAGCTATCGCGCCTATGAAAGAGATATGAGACAAAAGGATAGATACAATGTAGAAGGTGTTGATAAACAGATGAGTGATGGGGTGGAGGATAAGGAAAAAGAAAGAGAGGTGCAAATTGATAGTTTGAGTTGAGTGATGAGATGAATAGATAAGATAGAGAGATATATGTGTTGAAGGTCTGGGTGAGCAGATGAAGGAAGAAATGGATGAGGTGAAAATGAAGATAGTACATTAAATGTTTGATTGGAGGATTCTATAAAGTCCTGTAGAAAAACAATATAGAGGTGGTTGAAAGGTATGGATGAAATCAAGAATGAGAAAATGGAGATGAGATAATGTACATGTATTGTATTGACAGATGGTATTAAAGGGTACATATTTTGTAAAGCACTTAAAGACATTATGTTAAGCGCTATATAAAAGCTAAATATTATTATTTATTTAGGGTGAGTGTATTAATGTAAGATAGAAAGATGGATGAGCAGATGTAGGATGGAATAGAAAATGACAAGATGAATGGCACATTATTCATTTATTATTTGAATTGATACAATATTTATGGAGTAGATCTACCTTGTCTGTCTTTAATGAAAACCTCTTCGTGACAAGAAGGACAAATATTGTACATTATCTAAGAGATTCCAAAAATGTTGCATCGCTTGAAAGCGAGAATCCAGTTCAGACTTGTGTCTGTCTCCATCAACCATCAAATTGGCAACCAATCGTGTGATAAGCATGTCCTTCAAGAGCCTTGGCGTCATGAAAGCTGAATAAAGACGATGCTATCAACACTCCAATCCAATTTACTCATGTTCCTGTCTAGGCAGCTGGTGAGAGGCATTGTCGCATTTTCCCTGATTGAATATCGGAATAAAGTGTGATCATTGGTTGCCAGCTAGAAGGCTGCAAGAGCTATGTATTGTCAATAGCAGTCTTCTTGCAGGAAGCCCATATAATACTGCAAGATAGAGAGAGACACATTCTGATGATACACAAGTAGCTCTTGATGTCTCTTGTTTCAACATGGATACTGCCCTCTGCTGACAGAAGGCAGCAAGCTTGTCTTCTCGTCTGGTTCATGGCGTTGTCGCATTTTCCCAAATTGAACATTGAAAGGCGTGATGCACCATGATGATGAGACATTTTCATTTCACGCAATAGCTCGCGGTGTCTGTCATGCAACATGGAATCTGCTCCCTACTGACATGTAAAGGCAGCAAGTCCAGGGAAAAAAATACTTTAAAAATTGGGGGGGGGGGGGGGGGGGCTACTTTTTCAAGCTTGCTTGCATGAAAATAAACAGTCTTTAATTTGTTTTGCATTGAACTCTATGCAAATTTTGGGGGGCTCTTTTATGACTGTCGGGGGCTCTTTTGGCATTTCGGGGCTAATTCGCCCCGAGCCCCTGTGTATATTTTTCACTGAGCAAGTCACAGTTCGCATGCTTCTTGCATCTGCTACACTGTGAAATATTGTCACATTCACATATCCATGATAGAATATAGATGTGGTATCCCATGATAGAGTGAAGATCTGTCCATGTCTGTCTTACAACATGACCATAGGCCCCTTCTCACAGATAGCAGCAAACTATTGCTATATTTTCCTTTATTGGATATTCATATAAAAGGTGTGATAATAATATGATAAACCATGAATGAGAGTTTTCTCATTGTACTGAAAAACTAACCTGTAGTGGAATATACACTGTAAGTACAATACTTGAATATAAGTATGGATAGTTGCTAGTTTATTCATGATATAAATGAATATAGCCACTTGATTGCAGAAAAGGGGAAAGAAAGGCTAAAATGTCATGATTCTTCACGTTCATACATCTCTTGTGTTCAAGCAATAATAAACACTTTAAAATAGTCAGTTGATTCTCCCTCCCAGTTCAGATGTTATTAATACACACTGATCTAGATGGTTGTAAGGATTTTCTCTTCAAAATCAGTTCAAAGGGCAATCCAACCCTTGTAATAAGTTCATTCCAAGTCATACAATTTTGAAAAATTGGAATTTGAGTCATTTTGTGTGTTAAAACTATTGGAAATGTTGTCCACTACTACATCACAGAGACATTTTGAAGAGCCCATATTTACCTACAGTGATTGCAACTTTCAAAAATTCATAGCTTTTTTTAATTTTTTGTCTGATTTCATTTAAACTTTCACCAGTCTGCTTCTCAGATTTTTCTGCTTTCCTCTGGAAGTAGTTTTCTATCAAGGTTAGATACCCTTTAAGAAGCGAGAAACCTGAGTTGCATTGTCGTAACTATCATTGTCCTGCATTCTACAGACTTCATTTGAATGAGTTTTTTGTGGAAAAATGTCTTTATTCAAAAGAAGAACATTTCACAATGATTTTTCCTTATTTTTTGACACCTGCCAATGCTGCAAATAGCCTTTAACTCTCAAAATTCTGAATATTAAACATGCAACTTGGCATGTCTCACGATAGATCCGCATCAGTCTCAAATACGTGACAATCAGTAATTGGAAACCTTGGTTTATCCCCAAGTAAAGTCTGATGCCTGATACTGACAAGGCTGACTGAGTTTGGAGACTTGGAGCTCATTCACACATCAGACTGGAAAGCATGATGGGTTTTTTTGCAGCAGGTTATTTTTTTTGTAACGTTCATGTATGTGAATATCAAGTGGGGTGCAAAAATGAACCTGTGTGCAACAAGGGTTGTGCGTCTATCCTCTATCTGTGAGTTATAAGGTACAACATTATGATGGGCAATATGTTTATGTTGTTTTTGCCTCGGTTGAAATCCGTACCGACTTTCAGCAACATATGTGAACGAGCCTTTTGAGTGACATGGTCCATGCACTCCAGCAGGCGTGGTGAGGCTTCACGCCTACTTTGTTCCATCTTCTTTTTACCCCCCCTCCCCCCCTCTCTTCACCTCTTCACCTCTTCACCTCTGCACCATCCCTCCATTTGTTCCTTCCATGTTGCTTGATAAAAGATTACTCCATACATAAATTTACCTGTGATGCAAGACTGTGCCATATTTGTTGTAACTCAGTTGCATCTTCTCACCACCTCAGTAATCAGACGTGTAGTCTTGATTAATTTTCACATCCAAATTTGGTCTTTACACAGTGCGTATATAAAAATTGTTAACTTTGCGAGATTCCCCTTCAAAAGTTATATCCTGTTAGACATTTTAAAGAGTGACTAATATTCTGTCTGATGATACATTATTGTATCTCTGCTGCCACGGATGATTGAGTAGCAGTCTTGGGCTAAAGCAATGTATGTGGGTTAAAAGCCCTTACACTCTGTTATTTCAGTCCAAAAACAATTACTGACGTGTTCAAATTGATTTTGTGCCATAAAATAGTAAAGGTAATAATGTCAACTCAGACTTAAGGACAGGCTCTTTTACATGTGCTGGTCATTGAGTCATTCAAAATTAACAAAGTTTACGGATGCTATCTACCAATTTTTTTCAAGGGGGTCTACTGTCTATATTTATTTATTAATTAATTGATTTCTTATCTTTTGCCATGGTAGCCGATTCACTAATACATGTAAGTAGTGGTTTTCCGTCTTTATCTTTGGTAGTCTTCATCATGATGTTATTGCAGGCATTTACTGAATCTTTGATGTTATAAAACCTCCAAGTTTTCATGTGATGTTCGAGACAAATGCATGTACACTGTACACTGCCCTATATGTTGAGTGTCTTTTGTTTGCATTTTGATTTTGATTATCATAGAGTATTTGATGATCCCTTTTCCTAAATGATAAATTATTCAGAAAAACTTACAAAAGTAGGTATAAAATGCAATTTTTTTACTACAAGAAAGATGATTTTACTGACAGCTCCAGCTCACAAACCTTGTAAGAATGTAATCGATCATTATCATGTAGAGGCGATGTAGTCGAGTGGGAATGCAAAGGTCGCAGGTTCGATCCCTGGCACGTCGCTTGTCTTCCAGAAAGCAAGGCATTTTACTGTACATTGCTCCTCTCCACCCATGTGTTGAATGGGTAGCCAGTATGATGCAAACATCAATCAGTTTGGATTAGCATGTGGGTGCCTGGCAAAAGGGCAACAGGTTGGAATGCTCCTAAGGGAGTAGAGATTGTGAACTGTAAAGTGCATGATCGTCACAGAATCCAGTGACCGCGGTATTAATACTGTATAAAAGCTTAGGTGAGTTACACTGTACCTGGTAAAGTGATGAATAATAAACAGGTATTATTAATATAGAAGTCTTACACCAGTGACATGTATAAATGATTGATTACAACTTTATTTATCATGTCTGTCAGTTCACAAATCTCTAGACAAATACTCCCAGACAAGAGTTGATATTTACACCATGCCTGATAAATAGCCATACTGACACATCGCTGAACTTGTGGTGGTCTGTAAGAGGCAAACTATAAATGAAGGACGGTTCAACCGAAGGTGTACAACATGTAGGCCTACTTATTTTTTATTTCACCTGCAGCTCAAAGAAATTCAATGTGGATTTGTTTATGATGGGGGGGGGGGGGTCCATAACTTGGTTTTTAGTAGCTGGAATGTTATTTCATTCAGTGGCCTATGCAAATTTCTTCTAGTTATCCTTGGTTTTTCATATTCTGACGCTAAATCGTCATGAAAATTATGACAAACAAATGTTGTAATTACACATTTTCTAATCCATATTGATGCCCATGTAAATTAAAAGAGTCCTAAAGCTACGGACATGCAAATCTTGATTTTTAAGCTGACG